CTGTCATTTGAATTCAAAAATGTTGATGGTCTAGCATTCAAAGTTTAGTCATCTTTCCTATTACGTAACTAATGTTAATCTCATCAATTCTATTCTATATATTTCTATCATGAGGTACTTTATTTTCATACTGTAAACCTTCGTAAAGTTTTCCTCTTAGAATTACTTTAGTTTTCTGTAGCTCATCAATTTTGAAAGTATGCACTCTTAAATGTACTGAGAATGATTGTTTTGTTTCTCAATGAATATTGTATGATAAGTTTAGGGAAGAATTAAACCAATTATCACTTATTTGTACATTGAATTTCAAGTCATACGCCACAAGAAAATACTTCAAGTACACTTATTTCCGAAATATAAACAAATACACATAAGCTGAGAAAATAGAACAAAGAAACTGCTGCTTGAATCGGTATTCAAAAGGGCTACTTTTGTAATATGGAAACTATAAGGGTGAGACTTTTTTTATACTCTTTCAATAGTGGATAAGTAGATCTCTGAGGTTGAAAATTGACTGGATAAATAGTTTGCATTGTTAACGACTACCGGGAATTGATTGCGGATATAACAGGCGACAGTCTTTCCTGAAATTTTATTTTCACTTTTTCTAATCTGTTCGTAAATACACTCCATATAAATTGATTCATACCATAGTGTTTGAAATTTTCCTATTTTATACTTCTATATCATTCTGTTACTATGACAATCTGATGGTACGCCCTGATTTTTAATATTATCTGCTAGATGAAATAAAGAAATGAGTTTTTTTATGCATCCAATAATATGAGTTAAAATGTAACCATTGCAAAAATCTTAAAATATTTCATTTATTACTTTTTACCTCTACTACCAGTTCTAGAAACTTGAAGATACTTGTGTTGATTCATAATATATATGAACACTTCAATGTTCAGTCATCTTAATTGCAAATGAAAGATACTTTTATTCACGGAAGATAGAAATATCAACTACACATAAAATTATGGTCGAGGGTAAATATACAATTTCACTTTAGTGAGTTAAAAAGCTTTAAACTATTGTCTCTTTAATAGTTAAGTGGTTACGATTGATTTTACTTGAGTGAAAAAAATTCATCTTCATATAAATATATTAGTTTATTTGAAATAGGCTATATTTAAGTGTCAGAATTAAGATCAGTATGATGAACTCGAGTCCAGTTGATGTGTCAAACTCATTTAACTTAACAGGTGATGACTTCAACAGTATAGTATTAGAAATCATGAGGTGGTTGGGAAGAATTTCCCCCTATATTGTTGTTCACTGAAACCTTCATCATTAAGCAACCGTGCTGATAGTATGAAGTTGATTGCATCAAGCGAAATGTTTAACTTGATTGAATAGTTGAGATAGTTCAAATGTATTAAATTGGTTATAGTAGAATCATCAAAGATTATACAGAACACATGATTATTTTTCAATAACTTCCTCTTCATGCTGTACAATTATAAATTCATCAAAATGTGTGAAATACAATTGCCAAAGTAAGGCGCATTGTAGAATTATTTCCGAATGGAAATAGTAAGGGTTGTGGGTGAATGGAGATCAAATCAAATGGATGTAAGTTTTTATCAGGTGGAATAGTTCTCAATCTGGTGTATTAGTTGTGAAATGAAGTCAATATGGACAAAACGATTATGAAATAAGAGACAAAATCTAGCGGTAATGAGCCATTTATATTCATGTACCTACGGAGTGAATGTGCGTGTTTGTGTATTTTCATTTTGACTATTTGAGTGAGATACTCGTGGTTTGGCAGACTATTATTAATACTGTGTGATGATGGGTGTATTTGTTTACTGGGAGTCAAATAATCTTTGTGCAGCAATGATTTATATTCAAGTAGGGTGAAAAATCATGTGAATACAATGACGAAATAACGAACAACAAGTTTAAAGTTTACGTAAGGGTAAAGGTATGAATAAATAAGGGCATAAAATTAATAACATAGGAAAATAAATGTTAATCAATGATGCTAGGTGATTATTGAAGGCGAAGAGAAGATCTGGGTCGCTACGAGGTTCACAACAGTGACTTCCGGTTCAGTGACCAGGTGCTCTACCAACTGGGCTACGAAACCTGGCTGCTAGCTAGATCTTTATTTCACTTCAATCACCATGGGCTTTACCCGACTGCCATATAAATTCATGATGCATAACTACCGCTTAATCAAATTTATATTGGCTGTCTAGTAAGGACTTTTCATACAAGTCTAAATCTACTTGACTTAGAGAGGGGTAGCATCATGTTGATCATCAGTTTCATTGTCTGAGATAGCCGTGGTTTGGTTGACTTGCATTGATAATGGGTGGCAAGTGAAATGAGAGACAAAGTAGAAGAGAGAGGTGAGAGAATAAAATGTATAATTCGTAGTAGGAAAGTTCATAAAGAACGTGCTGACCCTATTATGAATCAAGGTAGACAAAGTGGGTACATGTATTTTTTGAACAAAGATCAGGTTTACTCAAGTTGATTCCCATGTGAAAGGACTGCACTATCTATGTATTTTGTCATTCCTTTCCGTAGCCAAGCTGATACATGTTAGAGAGCGTACATGGATAGATTCCTCTGAGTTCGGCTTATGTAACTGTTTCAATACTTTAATAATTTTACATTATGCCTTACTTTAGTTATTGTATTTCACCCATTATGATAAATTTATGACTGTATAGCCTGAAGAAGTTATCGAGAACAATTTTTTGCTCAAATTATACTTGTTCTACAAAACATCAAAGTTTTCAGCAGTATGCTTTCTCAAGTTAAGTTATATTTAGTAAAAACCTCGCTAACATGCTCTTAAGCGCTGAAGGACACTTAAGGTCTTAGAACTTTGTATGTCAACAGGATATATATATTCCATTTTGTTCAGTTTGTTTTATACTTCAAGACCAAGTGTGTATTGGTGAACGAAAGAGAGACGTTTTAAAGCTGAAGGTATTTTTCTTGCATCATAGTGATAATTCACAGCTCTGTATGCATACTGTGAAGTTACAATTAGTGCATTTGGGAAATTATAATACCAGCACATTAATGATATTTCAAGTGTAGTTCCGATTTCGGATCTATTGTATGCAAACTGAGAGCATAAGTGAATAAACCTCAACTCCAGTTGATCCTATTCGATCAACAAATGTAAGCAAGATTTTATGAGGGAGTACCGAATACGAATTTATCAGCTGACTTAGATAGGGTTCTACTGACGCGTATCGTTTGATATTTTTTCGGCTCATTAAAACTTTGTAGCATGTGTGATATAATCACCTAACACCTCGTGGTTGTAGTCAAACTTGTCAGTCTTACTGACCCATCTAGAATGTGTTGGTTGGAGTATTTTTCCCTTGAAGTTCTGCAGGTGTATGAAAGAGATCAGTCAAACGGAAATCATATAATAATGATAATAATATCATCATCATCAAGTAGCAGGATGAAGTCACACTAATGACTTTTAAGAGGAGTGTAACTACAGTTACCAGTGTTTTAAGTAAAGTTTCATTCTCAGTATCGAAAATAGTGGCTATGAAAAGCCTACTCTAGAAATAACAAACAGACCATGGTTTTACAAAATTCCAATATCAAGGGTAGGTTGTTTGAGAAACTATGAAGACAAATCTGAAATTATATATCTGCGAGATATTTGTGTGCTTCTAATCTGAAGGTAACATTTACTGAAGTATGTGGTTTCACTTGCATATCGATAACGATAATCTAGTTTCTTTCGGAGGTAACTTTTCACTTTTTGAATGGTTAGGAGGTATTAGCAGCTCATGTTTTTATGATAGCATTCAAGTTTCTGTCAATCATTTCTAAATTCTTTGTGCACTAGGACTATTGATTAGGTTTCCATTACATAAAATGCTGCCCTTCATTGCAAAATCTTAGACTTTGTATCCTGATCATAAGAAAAATAAGCTATGCATACAACCTAGGGGTCTTGGAAAAAGATAAAATGTTCATCCAATATTTTGTTGACTATTGCTGGTGTCATCTATAAAATATCTGATTGAAAACTGCACTTATGAGTAGATGTTATCTCGTGTTATGTTAGTCTCCCAGTTACCTCCTACTGATTCATTCACTTCACAGGTTTACACCCAGTAGTTTATGTTGTAACAGTTGCTGGTAAATGACCTCAACTATGAATTTATAATTTGTGTTAATTGCTTATAAATGCAGAAGAAAATAAATATTCTTAAAAGTAAAGATAGACAGCTGTGTTTGGATGAATTGGAGCAGATACCTTAGTTTCAGAATAATAACAGTAATTTCTCATAATAGACGGTATTAAATCAACGTCACTTTTTAATTATTATTTTAAAAAAATAAATAAACATTCAGTGTTACTGTAATTTACTTAGTTGTGATTAGCAGAGAAATCCAGCACGTACATTTCGTCCTGTTTGGGACTCGTCAACTGGGTATACTTACACCAAGTAAATCATAACTTTAAGTATTTAGGCAATATCGTGAATATATTATTTTCATTAACTGTTTCCCAGATGTCTAAATTTAAAATCAATTAAACACATTAAAAATTTCACAAGAAATATGAGGGAGAAAACAGTTATGTACTTTATTCTCATTTAAAGATAAAACATTTGCTTAGAATGCATAGTTTTTCAAGGTTGTTAAGTTGTTATACTTATTTTAAGTTTATATTTTAGACTGAATATGCTTATTTTATCAGATTTGATTGGATTAATAAGGAAATGATTATTTATTCATAGTATAAACAGTGAATCAAAGAAACAGCTTTTAAGAAAAACAGAATTCAACATTGACGTGACTACTCTTTCTATTTCCTTATTTTTCAGAATATATTTGCTTATCCATTATATGGTAATCAAAGTAGAAACTGATGAACAAAATAACGCCCTTTTATGTATTTATTATATATACCTGTATACAAACCAATTGTTTACCACAATTCGAAGTTCAATGTTCAATAGTGCCAATCCCCTGTTCACTGTAATTATTTATTTAATATGACGAAAGTTGAGCCAATAATTGGTGATAATGATGATTATCAAGAATTCTTGAAACAATTCACCTTACTGAATAGTCTATCAGCTGAATTTCGTTGTGTGTGCTCAGTAATCGGTACGGAATTGGATTGTACTTTGGTGAGAACAAATCTTGTCAATCTACAAAAGCGTATGCTAAATAAATTACAAAAAAATCAATATCATTTAATGAAATGCTGGCACAGTGCTAATACCGGTCAGTCGACTAATATAACTAGTGAACAGTCAGATCAATTGTTTGTCACCTTTACAACATTAATTGAATATCACATGAGAGCGCTGTTAAAGACACTACATCTTTTGACCTTATTTCCGACTATAACACAGAATGAACATCGTTCTAATAAGGATGGGTATTCGAATGAAGGTCTTAAACATCATGTTACAAAACAAATGCATGAGGTTTCTTCCTGGGTGTTGAGTAATAATACATTATTGAAAATGAACATTGATTCATTGATTATGACTGGATTTAGTAAACCGTTGACATTAGAATTAGATGAAATTCAACTTGGCAATAACAGCGACAATGGAGATATTGATGATGCTGGTGTAGTTGAAACATTTCATTCGAATCTTTCAGAGATTGATGTATTGAAAAATGAATATCACATACTGCAAAAAGCATTGAACGATATTTCAGTAAGATTTTTTTCCCGTTTATATTCTCTTTTTCGTCTCTGTAAAGTAGGTTGCTTTAATTGATTCAAGTTTTCTTTTTCTGTGAAGGAATGATTACTTTGATTTGATTTAACAAAGAGTCAGATAAGTCATAGGACTTCAGGAAACGTGTAAAGATTAAATATACTTTTCGTCACATTGTAGAAATTTGTGAAACCTTACACTATAAATTCATTCTCATCTTGTAAGGTAGTATAAGTCTGGGTTAACAAGAGACTTCTGAACACAGTTATCAAGCAGCAGTTTGCTGACAGACATATCTGTTGTTTGCATTTAAAATACACCATTCAGGTACTAAAAATGGAACAGTGATTATCTGGTAAGTGGTCAGACCACTGAACGAGAAATCTAACAAAAAGTATTCTAATTTGTACACTAAATCATGTCTTACAAATATCTAGAATTTCTGATGCAATTTTAAATTTGTATGATTTAGGTATATCGACGCATCAGAATCTGAGGGATGGAAAATGTGTACAGTAGAATAGTGATGCCATTTCCGGTGTTTGGAATTTCCTCATTACCTGGAGTATTTTTCGTCTGAATTTGATAATAATTGCACTTCTTCCCTCAGGAATAAAGGAGAAGCTGTTCATTAAATTTCAAGGAAATTAATCAGAAATAAGAAATGGCTTAGTGTATATGCGTAGATAACTGTTTCCAATGCGTCCTCTGTTTTCTAATTTATCTTAACGAGTGTTTTACCGTACATTTATTTATTATCAGTAAGTCACTTTCATAAAATGTAAGTGTATATGAAGCAACGCTGGGAAACAAACAGTTCTTTAATCGGTCAAGTGGATAATGTCAGTAACAGAGTAGCTAGAGCAGTAACTTTGTGTTCTATAGGGATGAGGCATAAGTTTCTACAAAATATACAACTTCTGTGAGTAGTTGTAGACTGGACACACTGATCAGTAGTGAATTCAGTAGCATATTTAGTACAGCTTTCATGCTAGGAGAGTTGACACCAGCTGTGATGTCTAACCAATCACATTATGTGATCTGAATATTTCGCTTCTTACAGGAAACTACGAGGAAACTTCTGACCATTGACTGTATAGTTGCAAACACTCAAACCGAAGAAGGTCCAGACAGAAAACTATGATTCACGTCTCAACAAATACATGACTATAATTTTATGATGACTGAGTTCATTAATATAAAGCCTGGATGGGCTGACGTCCTCTGCTTTTCTGGCCCTGAGCAACACTATTTCAGCTACCCACTCTAGATACTGACAAGGTGTCAATTTCACTTTAACAATTGAAGGTCTTGTCCATTATGCTATGTGCTAGCCACTGAAATTGACTATGTTCATGAGTCAAATCAATAACTGATTTGTATCCTTCTGTTGATGGTCATATAGAGTAGTGTTCGGATACATGTTCAGAAAGTGCATATTTTTTGCGGCCAATGAAACTAGTTCCTCAGGAGCAAGTAAACTTAGAAATCCACACTGAGGTAAACCAAAGTGTCATACTGTCCTTGACAAACTCAGGTATTATTTGTTGACAGGAGATTATCTGTAGTTTATCATGAGAGAGTGTTTCTTTCGACGATTTAGAAAACTGGTCCTCCTAGTTTTCAACTGCTATATTACTCTTCAAATCATTATTCATAAATATAGTCTTCTTGGGTGTTGAATGTAAGTGTTCAGTATATTGCTTGATTTACCATATCTAAATAAACCTGAATGGGTATAAAGTCTGTATCAGTATCTACCGAATTTCATTCACTTCATCAACAACTATGCAATTCCTGCGGATTTTTGTAATCTTTGATAATAATCAATGAATGAAATTTTTCTTCCCAATCGCTGATGTGAACTATTTGGCCTACATTTCAATGAAACATTCATGAAATGAATCCTAGAATTTTGTAGTGAACTTGGTTAACTAATAACAATAACTAACTTTTGCAGCATTTTCATTTTATTCAAGTACGATAAATTATTGACCGCATATCTTTTAGGAAAATAAAAAGTGTTAACCCTTACAGTCCTCAGCCAATAACTAGCTGAGTGCTGATCTTGTTGCCACGCCATCCTTATGTCGATTCACTTCAGCCCTGAACTTGAACAGATTGGTGAAAATGCATTTTGGGAGCAGTTCTTTTAAATAATGTTTTAGCATATGCATGTTAAATTGTTATCTTCGGTGATTTTACATAAAAAACGGATTGTTCCTGTTATTAATATATTAGCAAAGAAAGATACCATATTCATAGAAATCATTTGAACACCTCACACACTGAAACTGTTTATTGAGTCAACACCACAGTCTACCATCGAGATTATCAATAAATAAAAATGCCAACACCCATCGGTATGCAGGTATATCCATCTAGTTGATGAATCTTAAATGAAACAAACTACACATCCCGGGTCCCATTAATCCTTCAAAATCTAACATCACTAATGAAGTATCTGAGTGAGTTCTGTTCTCTGTCTTTCTTTTCCCCTTAAGAGGATAAATAAGAATGCATCTTCAAGGATTTTTAATACAGAAGATAACATTTTTTCATTACTTCCCGATTGATGATATATTTATATTTAAAGTAGTATTCATCACAAACTGATATTATTTGGAGAGCTACTGAAAACCTGACAGTACTGGACAGAAGTTTCGTTCTAGTGCTTGACTGCCTAGCAGTACACACCCACAACCCTGCTAAGGATCAAACTCAGGACCTTCAGGCTTCACGGTGAACGCGTTGACCATACAGCCACTGGGTCTCAGTTCTATGGTCCACTGTGTCCTACCTACATCAATTCGTGGCATAGCGTGAATGGTCAATGAATTCGCTGTGAAACCCGAAGGTCCCGAGTTTAATCTCTAGCTGGATCGTGGGTGCGTTATGCTGAGGAGTGTCACACTAAAACGAAAAGGCTGTCCAAAGCCCCTAAATTTCCAATGTTCCCCCAACTGATATCAGTTTGTGACAAATGCTATCTTGAATTCAAAATACCCATTAACCTGAAAATATAACAGTTTAAGATAAACGTTAACTTTGAATTTTCAGTTTGTTCAGTAAGTTCTAATCACAGAGAGGATTCATTGAAAAATTTCACTTCCATATAATATCTATCCTTAGAATGACTACAAACGTGAGTTTAAGAGAAGTCACTGGTTACTTTTCTGACTGTGATGCTGAATTAATACTGCTAAGCGCTGTAGGCTTCTTCCCTAATTTGACTATGCACTCATATTTAGGATGCTATTCGATACGTTTTCATACATTCCATTGTCATGCATATATGATATTGCTAAACGGAAGTCAATGGGTATATTTCGTTGCCTAGCAGACTAAGTTATACAGGCTAACTAAGAAAGATTTCATTTGCGTGGGAAAACCCTTTTACTAGAAAAAATTTAGGAGGACACTTCCAGCCATCTTCAATGTTCAATCATTAGTCGATAAACACACCTGAACTCACTAAAGTCTCTATGGTGAACCATTTTATCATCAATAGAATATATATATATATATATATATATATATATATATATATATAATTTCTAAATCAGGAGATCAACAACGTTAAGTTGTACAACAAAATCATTGATAATTCGTATTACATGTAGGAGAATCAATTGTAAAGAGACAAGAAACGTAAGAAAAGAGTTATAACAATAATGGTTAAAAACAATGAGGAGTCATATAATGAAATGATATTCATGAAGGTAATGAGAGACTAACCACACTCTCTTTGTGTGAGTTCTAATCACTGCCACGAAACTCTGTAATTCAGATGTCTTCTGTATGTTAATTATTTTAAAAGGACTCTAGATTCCAAATTGATGTCCTATGTCTTTGATTATTGACTTCTTGATTTTGAAATATTTTATGTCCTTTTGACAACTGCACTTTTAGACTGTATGTAGTTGAAGAGTATTCGTGAAATAAGATGACATGATTTTATTCTGAAAATTAATTCCTTCTTCCTTTATCCAGTTGTACTTTCAAGACAGAAAAAGAGACACAACAGACAGTTATTAATTCATGAGTGATTCTCACTTCGTGGTGAAAGTGATACAACCAAGTATAACACAATTGCAAGATTCCATAAATCCCATCATAGAATTTTGATAATTTACTTGGTTTTGGTCAGCAGGAGAATCCAGGATGTGCGTTTTGTCCAATTTGGGACTCATCTAACGGATGTGGCTCCGCCCCAGTGAGGGATATTGTTCTCACTAAGACTCAGACTTCGTACCACTCATTTCAAATGCCAAAGTTCTATCTACTTAGCCACTGAGAGGTGGCTATTATGTCTCATTGATGACGTACCCACTGCGGGGTTTGAGGATCCTTTATCAATCAAAGGTGTGTACTGTTGAGTATCACAGAAGAAACCAACAGAAAAATTCGAGATAACTTAGGTTATTGAGAAGACATTCCGGGGCAGCTGACATAATGCAGTACAGAAGATTGCTTATGTCACGTACAGTAATGTAAAACAATGGTGACTGGGTCATTACTGATGAATATTTAACACTTTGGCCTTGTAATTCAGTGAGTATAGGGCTGTGTGCCTAGCCTGAGAACTGTTAGTTTGAAATGTACTGTAACTCAAGCTTCCCAAATCAATTTTTATGAGACTTTCAATATTAAAAATTGTCCCTAGTTGAAGTACTTCAGAAAACACTATTTAACTTATTTCGAGACTTCTTATCCAGCGAATGCCATTGGTTCTTTTCAAGACATAACCAAAGGCTTTCATCTTTTGGTAAAAGCAAGTAACTCCTATGAGGCTAGTTTAGAATTCAGTATTTGATGCGTTTCAAAGTAATTAATGATAAATCTGGTATTATTATTATTATTATTATTATTATTATTATTATTATTATTTTATTGACAATGAAATGAACGGTTTCAAAAATTTAATTCTAAGTGACCTTGACATACTAACTCCATATGTTCCATTTAACCGCTCTTAACGATTATATCATGTTTTATTTTCTACATATTTTTAGTCATTAATTTGTGTAACACCATGGAATGTGCTAGCATTTCCTGCGGGTATAGAACAAAGATTGTCTTTAATCGACTCCACATCTACTGTTCATCCACCTAAGGTTGAGTGTGATAGTATTTCATATGGGCCATCAACTGAATACATCACAATGTTTAAAAAACTATCAAATGTTAGTACTTCAATCGGACAATCAAGAATACATCTTGTTTCATCAAACAAAGAATTATCAACTATTAACAATATTTTCAGAAAAGTTAAAAAGTATTTTGAACGAAGGAAAGTTTTTGCTTTCCTTTTAATTGGTGCATTTATAATTTCAGCTTTAATTATTCTTCTTATACTGTTTGTTGTTATATTCCCTAAGATGACAAATGCCTAGAATACCATTATAGTAATATTTGACGTAGATCTTGTTTGTTTCCCTAATATGTAGTTTATAAAATTAATTTCAAAAAAATTAGTCACTAATCGTTTTTCCGTTCCAGAAAGTGTGAGCAATGAGTAATTTTGAGCATAATTTTAATTAATCTATTCATATACATTGTAATTTTTTTTAACCTAGGGTTCCACATTCCGTTTAGACGGCAGAATACCGGATATCGACATTGTGGTAGATTATAAACCTATTCTACTTAGTTTTTTTTTTTGCTGTTTAAACTGGTAAAATGATTAATCAAATTAGCTAGTAGCTTCGAATTGCAATTTTTATGAGACAGCTAATGAACCTAACTTAAAGCTTAGAAGGAGCTACAGTGGGATTTGATCGAGCCATAGATCAGAAGTAGTGAATCATATCTCCAATAAATTGTAATTATTTACCGTTCAGAACAAACAAAACTGATATACCTTCAATAAACCGAAAGTAGTGTGGTGTTCAAATGTTAAACTTTATGAAGATGTAGTCTCGGGTTTATAGGATGTAAGTTTCTCACTAAAAAGTTCAGTGAATTTTGCAATCAATTTGTATCACTTATGCAAGAAAATATTATCAACGTATTTCTTAGTTTTTCAAATTTTGAAGTAGTTTTAAAATATCGTTTGAATCGACTCTTCAGTGAATATTTAGGCGGAATATTCCCAATAGTTAAGATCCCACAAAAGTTTGTATGGTAGCAGGACTAAATAAATATTCAGTACTGAAAGCTATTATCTATCGATTAACCATTTTTATCGTCCTACACTGGAATGAAGTTAATGTAAAGTGTTTAGGACAGCTGTGTTCATCTCTATCTTCTTGTTTGAATATACTTTGACTGTTCGAAAAATATTATGTGAAACCAGACTACTTTACAAGTCGTCAATAATTAGCCTCTATTTTCAAATGTAATTACTCGTATCTGTATAACTTTAAACCAACTCTGAATACTGTTTAATTAATTATCAGACCGAGATTTATCGATATCGAGAACAAATATAGATAAAATAGTTTGAATGTACTTGATCATTGTATGAATGATAGCCATTATTGATACTGGATGGTGATTGAAGGTGAAATGAAAATTTGGACTGCAGCAGACTTCTAACCAGCTACCACCGAGTTTCCAGCCCGGTGATATGTCAACTAAGCCATGAAGTCCGACTGCTGATCTGATTTTTATTTTATTTCAATCACTACCATGTAAATTCGTGGGATATTACTATCGCTTGATCATACTCACACTGGCTTCTCAGTCAGAACTTCTCATTCCTATCCAAATCTAACCGAATTAGAGAGAGGGAGGATCATACTGATCATCATTTGATTATCTGAGATAGTCGTGGTTTGGCAGACTATTGATAGTGAGTGATGTTTGAAGGTGAAATGAAAACTTTGACCAGGGTTGGATTCGAGCCAGAGACCACTGGGTTTCCTGCCCGATGGTTTACCGACGGAGCTTCGAGCTCCAACTGCTAAACAGGTTTTTATTTCACTCCATTATGCTGAAATGTTTCCCTCCCAGAGAAAGGATAATTATTGCTTTGTTTTCCCGCTGGAAAATAAAGGGAAGATTTCTAATGAATACTTCGTTTGAAAGTGAAACTTATGTCAAAAAGAAAGAATAAGAGTCTAAAATTCTGGTCTTTACGATCGTCTTTAAATGAACTTGAATGGGGATTTACTCTACATATGTATAAACACAATTATAAAGAGATGGATACATGAAATCAGTTCGAACTCTTTTCTCCAGCCAGTCCAAACAATAAAAGACTTTCATCCAGGAAATAAAGCCTATACTGCCACATTTGGAAGTGATTGCTGCTTTTAACATCATATTTGTATAGATACTCTTATGAATCGATGAGCTCATAAAGTGTTACCACATCGAAATGAACAAGGAAGTGAAGTAGAAGACAATTCAATCGGAAATACAATAATAATATGATTTGACTTGGAAAACAATAACTCGAACGATTTTACGAGTTAAAAATGGTAACGATTAGTTTTAGGGGTCAATCATCTCTGCAACTTAATGACCAACTTGGGTCAAGTTAATTAAATGGTAACAATAAGCACCACTGAAAACGTTTCTACCATTGAGCACCAAAAATAAATTATGAGTGTTTGATTATGTTCTACAACACTTCAACCATGGCACAAACAGCTCATCAGTAATATCTCTAGTTGTACCACTGAGTGACATGCATCAGAGTTTCTGAAGTGAAATAATTTCCCACACCAGCAATGAGTACCAACAAGCCTGTCGCTTGTTTTCAACTGCCAAACATCAGTTGAATTGTATCAAGACGGTTGACCTCCTAGCTTACTGAACATTTTAAATTTGATTGGTACGGTCAGGTTGGCACAGGGAATTAATTACTATCTAGAGACTAGGAAGTGTGCTATGTACATCTAGCTAACGAGGAAACCTGAAAACTATAACCGTCTTTATCTGCATATATATTCAACAGTAATGTTTGTCATTGGGTCACCTTGGGTAGATAGAGTTTGACATAATTCCATCAAGATTTACTAGCTGGCACAAAGAAGTCAGACAGCCAAAACCAGCTCTTCACTTTGACCCAAAGAAAAGTATCCTCATCAGTCTTTCGTAAAAGATAGCTCTCATGAAGAATCCTAAAGGTGATACCAAACTCTGCTATTAGGACTTACTAAGCAGATAGAGTCTAACTAATCGAAACCATTAGGCCTGTATAATTTACCCGAACGCATCCAGCATATGAACACGATATCACATTCCATTGCATCTGCCAATTTAAATGTGGTGAAACATACACAAAGAGGTCTCATACAGGTAGGGGTCTCGGAGCATATTCCAAAATGGCTTGAAAAGTAACTCAAAACATCTGAACCCACGAAGATTGGTAGCGGATGTTCCAGTTCTTCGATTACGAAACATTTCATTGAGATCGGTCACAGGAGTGACATTTCTACACCATTTAGAGCTATTTACAAAAAGTGTTAGGAACGGATCCTTAAATTTGTTGAGGCCTTAGCCATTCGGAAGTTTAGGCAACCTTTAGGTGTCCAGAAATAATTTATCACATTGAACCTTCCATAGTGAATTCAGCTCTGAAACCAAGTTCAATGTACTATTATGTCTGCTTTACTGACTTCCATTGTAATTTTTGCCTTTCCTCTTTTCATATTCCCAACCCTTATCTCTACAAACTTTCATATAAATACCGCTGACAAGCACATGTGTGGTACGATTGTTAGAAATGTGTTGTGCAAATACATTACACGACTAAGGCAAATTAGGATTTTCCCATTGCTTTGTCGGAGATGTTAAGGTTAATTGCACTCCGACATTTGCCTGTCAGATAGGTACTCTAAAGAGGATTAGTCAGTGCCATGAGAAACAATACGTACCCAATTATGTCCATTTGCTAACCTATAGTAAATATAAATAGTAAGGATGAAAGTGGGTATCCCTGGAGAACAACATTAGTTATATTTACTTCAGCCAACTGTCTATGAACCCAAAAATGACTGTATGACTAACGATGCTGAACATTAGTGAGTATTAGTTACTTGCTTGCCGACTCTTGAATAGTCAGACACAGAAACAAATATTTTTGGTAAACTTAATTGAATAGGAAATTTAAGGTTCTGGTAAATATGCCTATTATCCAAAACCTGTTGAAGGCCGAAGGTTTGATCGATCCCCCTCATTCGATTCGGAAACCTGCCTGGTTTCTTCAAGTTCATTGTTCTTCAGTTAGGTGTAAGATGATTACAAACAGCAGAATCTTTGATGTGATGTTAGTCAAACTAATGTCCATGTGGTTGTCACAAGAAGACTTCCAACCTTCCTCATAAACTGAAATCATTAGTGAAGTAGACCAATCTCAGTGGACTGCCACTGATTCCCATAAACTGGGTAGCAGCTGTTATTATATTCGTACTTATCGACCTCCATAATTAAATGCTTCTAACGGCATACTGGCAGGTCCTGTTTAAGATTATTTTAGGTTTGTAAAACAGCCTTCCCAATTTCAGTGACAGTTGCAAAACGTACATCTACAGTATATCAAGTCCCAGCTACATGCTAGGTAGCTGAAATGTGTTGTAGGTCAGTTTAAATGTTTTTCCCATTGTTGTATCCAATATTCTAGCTACTTGTTCTGAGAGTTTATCAGGGACTCACCCTTTTCGGTGGCAGTAAGAATGACTATCTTCTTCTTTATCCTACCTCCTACAATAAGGCAAAATAACTATCCATGATTACGTATTGCAGGTATCTTCTCCCTTTTTCGCCACCCACAACTACTGTGATCACTTTCAAAACTCCATTAGTTTGCCTATAAGCTTATAGCCAGCCAGAATGAATCTCATTGTATCAGTCAGTTCTAAGTTGGTTTCAGAAATCTATTTACTCTTGTTGATATTCGCATCTAGGTTAACAACTGTATTTACTGCTATTTCTAACCGAAGAATCAATATTATGCCAGGCCGCAGTTAGATGGTGGGTGAAACCACATAGCTATTTACTTTCTATTTCAATACACAAATGCTCCAGGCAACTACACAAAGGTTTCACCTTTTTTGGCCCAAACGCACATGTGCTCATACCTATTCATGATCGGGGCCTAATTAGGTGTTACAAAAAGTGCTCCACTCCACTAGCAAACATTTCTACGGATGACTTAAAGATATGATCAACCTTTGGATACCATTTCCATCGTGTGGGTGGACACCAAGCGAGACAATTACGCTCTTTATTTTTCACATTGGTACTGTTCAGCATGAAATACCGTAAATAATTCCATAGGGACCTTTCCGATTGATTCAGCTTGCCTACTTGAGAGTTGAGTTTGACGCTACTGTGACTATATCTGAACTTTTTGCTTTTTTTGCCTTGGGTTAAAACTCATATTTTACCTCATATAGACTGTAATCGGCGCTCGTTTAGTGTCACAGTTTTTTCCTGTTCTTACAGGCTCATACATTCAACCGTAAATAGACCGTCATCGACTGCAATTGATTTAGGTGTACTTTCTGATTCACAATTTATTGCAATCATACACCAGCGAGTTAATAAAATCGAGCAAACCAATCTCCAGACACTCGTAAATTGAAGTTGAATATTAAGTCGGTTGTGTGAGATAAGGTGAATAACCACAAATAGATCCTGTATGAATTTCTCATAAACACAGGAGATATTAATGGCTCGATATTCTAAAGGATTTGTAAGCGACTTCTGTTGTCCGCTGAAGCACAGATGTTGAAGACTCCATTCTGAAATAGGCAGTATAGCTAACGCAGACAATAAACGAATTTTTCCGGCTTGGAAAGTTAACACTGGTCGTAAGGTGAAGAGATGAGGATACTTACTGTGAGCGGCCTAATGCTGGTAGTAGGAACAGGTAATGAGGGTAAGGGATAAAATAAAGCTAATATAGGTTACGGTAAGATGTATTTTGCATACTGCTGGAAGCGGGTGGATGTTTGGTATTTACTAGCTACCCATACAGTAGAATTTGTTTTCACAAGGTATCTGAGAGAGAAAATAGATTAGTTTTGCTTCATCGCAGAGCCTAAGGGACATATGCTTGAAGGTGGTCACATATAACGTTTTTCCTTGTGATATATCCAGAATAAAAGAGCCCACACCGCTGGTGTGGAAAGATCGTAGCTGCAATGAAGCTAACTAAAAGAATAACTTAGCCTATTATCACATCAAGAGGGATAACAGAACAAAATTCTTCGAAAAACTATCAGTTTCCGTCTCATTAGATCTACACTTAGAAAACTGTATCCTTGAATGGCTGAGCCTAACACGAAAAGTAGAACATTTAGGGAAAAGTGTCAAGCGGTCGGTGGAATAGCAAAAGTATCAAAGATAGAATCAAAAAAGCTTTTGCTAGCATATCTTTGTTTTCAAATACTTCTAATAAGTTTGTACAGAATTTAAGCATTGGCCTTAAGAATGACCTTACATGATACTTAATTTTAAAAATGATGATAGTAGGCAAAGTTCAGATAAATCAATAGCGTCACGATACCACGCATACAACAAAGAAGAAATACAGCAACAAGGTTGAGCTGGTAACTGAAATGATGAAAGCAGAAATGATGTAATTTCGCTTTATGGTATGCAGATTGGTAACTTCCCCATGTTTCAGCGAAAGTAAATATGCCTCTCTCAATTGACTTTACAGGGTAACTTACCTGTAAGCTCAGGGTATGTCTTATGGTGATTTGCCATTTAATATGTCATGGACGACGAGTGTGTGTTGCATGCGAGGTATGATGAAGGAGGAAGGTTATATATACCCTGCTGTTTCTGTCCAGTAGTTAGCTAGTAAGCCCACGTGTATGTCTGTATCTCTGGTATAGGTTGGAGGTCAATGATAAGGTCCATTCTGGTGACAATACTAGCGGTCACTATCAAACACTCAGAGCGATGCTTTTATTATCCCTCCTGGCTGGAGAATGGGTCTTCGAAAGCAGTCATCCATTGAAGCCTGAACCTGGTCAGTTGTCTGCTAACCACACAGGCAAAAAAGGCTGAAGTTCCTAGTTGCTACCGTCTAACTGTGGTGAGAAAGAGGCTGGTATTACTTGAGTGATGGATGTTAGATACGACCTGCCTTACTGTGATAGGCTAGGTCGGGACATACGAGTAGATACAGTAGGCTTGCTGGGTTAGTAGGTTTGCATGGCCTCTTGTGTACACCGTTTTAATCCGTATGTGTTTAATTGGAAGGTGGCCCATTGGTCGGTGACGTTTAGCTGACCTAGAAACAGGCAAGGCTTGTAAAACCATAATGAGTTGATTAGTGCCCTTCCTATGCTTTCGGACAATCTTAAAATGATAAAAATGGGTTATTTGGTTGGTCTGCACAAATAAACGACAAAAACGAAATAATAATATGAAATATCATATTCAATAGATGATTCTCACCTTGTCTAACGTTTTAGCAGACTAACTAATGAAAATAGAGGTGAATTCATTTAATGCTGCCTGTTATTCCTCTAATGGCTTCTCTTGTAAAGCATCTGTCGACAAGCAGATAAAATACACAACTCCCACTACTTTCTTAAGTACTTAGTCCAACCTAATTACAGAGAGTGAATACTATATATTACAGACTAAAACTTAATAAACTGCATCAATTATGAACGTATAACTGGTATCCACCGCTTACTTTATAATCGAATTATCAACAACTTTCAAAGGCGAGTAGTTACAGTAAATGTCTTTTTGAAAAAAGTATGGATACAAATGCTTCATCAAGACATTCCAAATAATGTTTATAGTTATAGGCTGTCAATACTTTGGTTCTGTTATCATCGCTATGTGGTATGATGGACATCGATAAATGAATGGAAGAATAATTTTCGCTTGCCACATAGCCTGTATGGGTTTAGCTCTGAGATCAACAAACTTTTTCATTGCTAAGGAGTTCCTCAGTGGCATAGAAGATTGACCATTAGCCACTGAGACCCAAGTTCTGACCCACTGTATATGATTAGACTAAGTCGTGTTGCAAGTTTTGACATACTATTAATGACCCATCGTCTGGTGCATAAATCTGTACTACGTTGTTGAGTTGTATGATAATTCTCATTATCGTTGTAGTCATGCAGATCACAGATCTCATGAATAGCGCCAACAAGGGTCGAAGGTTATTATCAGATGGTAACTCTTGCTGGCACTATCCATGATATCTTTAAGCTACTAAATAACTGTACAGCTATGGTGAGAAGCTATGAAAAGTTATCTTTGATGCTCAAAGTTTTTAAAAATAAACATCATACGGGTAACTTTTACATGGCGTGACTAACTTACACCTATAAATCTCAGCTAACGTTACTAGTTGAAAAAGATGACTAAGCATATAGGATTGGACTGAGTAGTGGCACATGAAGTGAGAAGCCTAACTAAATAAAAGCCGAAAAGAAAGTATAAAAAAATAAACTACTCAACAGATCGAGTGCACAGTAAAGCTTCATTTATTATGTAAATGACACAGTGTGTATTCACAGGCTCGTAAACGCGATGCATCATAGGATTCAGAAAAAAACCAATCTGGAAATGTAAATACTGCACACAGTATAGATATACTCCCTCAAGAAGAAAAATATTACGACAACGAATATACAAAACTGAGAACCTAGTAAACTCAACTAAGTATGAGGAAAACAACACATCATATAGGCACATACACATTATGAGAATCGGCTTTATTCATCTCTAACAAAACGAGACAGAATTCACTACTAAAAATAAGAGAGAGTCAGAGTCAACATAAAACACAGAAAAGAAACAAAGTAAACTCGTAAATTGATAACTGAAGATAAATGAAAACTATTGACAACAACAAATAAATGAAACAATACACTACAGATGACTGAAACAGATAGCATTTCTTTTGAATATTCTATTCCATATTACTGATCATGACGACTATATGATAAGATTTATATTTTTATACAGCATAAAACTGCTTGTCTACTTGTGTCAAGATCAAAAATTTGAAATCATTACGAAAACATATCACCAGTATCAACCAATAAAACGAAAATTTCGAAAGTAAAATTGAACGGAGAACACAAACTAAAGCGTGTAATTCCAAGCAAGCGAAAATATGATGAGTAATATATTATTATGCAGAATAAATTTTAGAATTATGAATTTTATTACAATGAGTAATATTACCAATGATAATCAATAACAGTATGGATAAATGCATAAAAAAAGAAATGACAGAAATTTCAACAATAATAAATCAGTTGAGAGAAAAAGAAGAACAAATAAGTGGCAACAAAAAACTATATAGATGCTGTTAAATATGAATTATGAATTCAACTGTATTTCAAACATTTTTCATTTAAACTTCGATAAAATAAAAACTATACATACAACTACTAACAAAAAAAAGGTGGGCTGCATCTACTAACGACGCCAGAAACCAAATAGGCTAGATCGTATAGGCCTATAAAAACGAGAATCAAAATCCAACAACCAAGGATGACCACGTATTGTTGCCATGAATGGTGAATGGATTTCAGCTTCAAGTATAAGCGCTAAACCAAACAGTGATGCACATGTTAACAAACCAGCAGACACAGCAGCAAAACGCCATAAGGATACAGACTTTATATTATTTTCAGAATCGATATCTTCATCATGTGCATAAGTAGGATCATTTGATTCGTTGGAATGTAAAGAATGATTACCTTTCATTGTGATATCCTTCTGATTCGTTTTCTCAGTACTTGATCGGTACAGAAAACTGAACCATGATCTTTCAGGTGACACTGGTTTTGTATTTACCTTCATCAAGAGAAAATGTTCAAATACATAAACAAATTTTAAAAAGATGATAAATAAATATAATTTATGCTATCTTAGTACAGTATAACAGAAATGTATGGTAATAATGGAAAGAAAAGAGGACAAAGGTACGCAATACGTTTATATTTTCATGACGTTATTATAACACTTGGAAACAGAAAGCATCGAAATCAATTGAACAGAGTTATTGGCAAGATTATTAGATATATGTCTAAACAACTTCTGAACTAGAAATTGAGACTAACTAACAATCCCTTTACCTTTATATCCTGATAAACCTTTATTTGGTATTCTCCTATATATTATAGTTTGGAATGTAAAAAAATTTAGAGATCCATGGTGTTTTTGTTTGAGATCAACAAGATTCCATTATTGATATTTGTCGTTTGAATGTATCAGTTAAGATTTCATTAAGCTCTTAGTGATATACACTAATTATGAAATATCCTACTTAGAATACATTGTAACACATACACTGATTACAAAAAAAGTATATGACAATTTAACTGGATAAAACATGAACCAACACACAAGGAGTATTGAATATAGTTTTCTCTTACTTTAGCCGATTCATTAGCTAACCATGCTTCTCCAGCTTCAGCAGCAGAATTTAAAGCTTCTACAGCAGCTTCAGATGATGTATCATCATCGCATTCATCATCAGTGTCGAACAAATCTGAATGTTCATGTTGACATAATCCATATTTAGACTGATTTCGCACTAAAATTTTAATGAAAAAGAATTTTTTTTAAAAAAAAAAATATCAGTAAAAAAGTGAATTAATTATTTTTGAATTCCTCGCTAACTTTTATGACAGAAGCATGTTGAAACACCAGCTTTATGCAGAAATATATCAGTAATGCTTTCGATTCTATTAGCTATGACATCATGCTTTACAAAAATTTTGATCTAAACAAAAACATATAGGTTTTTCCAGTTGGTATTCATCATGGAATGACATTAGTTGCAGGAACATTGGAAACGTAGGAGTGCTGGACAACTGTTTCGTCCTGGGATGGGACTCTTTAGCAGTATGATAGTGCGCACTGCTAAAGAATCCCATTCCAGGACGAAACAGCTAACCAGTGCTTCCACGTCTTTAATGTTCCTGCAACTGATGTCATTCTATGATGAATACCAACTGGAAAAGTCTCTAAATCCCCACAAACCCCCCTAAATTCAATCAAAAAAACATATAGGAAAGTTTAGACTCTGTTAACAACTTAAACCAGTTAATCAAAACTCAATAAGTAAGCAAATAATGTCCTAGCGAAATTCGATATAATTTGCCATTATAATTTGCTTCAGGTACATACATACATACGCACATACATACATACATACATACATACATACATACATACATACATACATACATACATACATACATACATACATACATACATACATACATACATACATACATACATACATACATACATACATACATACATACACACATACATACATACATACATACATACACACATACATACATACATACATACATACATACATACATAAATACATACATACATACATACATAAATACATAGAATGTCAGCCGTAGATTCGAACGATGATAATTAAGCAATACATAAATAACTAAATACAGAAATATCAGGGTGAATCCAACCAAATCGAACGAGAATTATTCTTAGTTCACACTTTTCATTTATGTGGTGTTACAAATTCATAATTACTGATGGAACTCTGTCAACCAAGTATGCAATACGGTCAGTCACTAAAGGAAATGACATTGATTGTCGACAAGTGACCTGTTAGTGGATTCAACTAAGTTCTCTCAAAAATCAATCGTGAGTGAAAATGTTTCTAACTGGTAGCACTAGATGACGAAGGTCTAAATCTCCGAGACAGTATCGGTTTTCTTTAATGAATGAATATACCTTAATAACAAGTGTTAACAATACATGAAATCCCGCTAATTAATTAGTAACAAAATAGCCCTCAATTTAGGTTTTATGAGACTGCAATAATTATTAGATATCTATACCATCAAGACGAGCAGATACATGCATGGGTTAAAGCGTGTTAGTCCAATATGTCGAGAATTATTATTATGCCTTTGTAGCCATTTTCTTACATGTCCCACTCTCGATATATATACGTGGCTACATACACACATACATGCAAATTGGCAACTGCAGTGGGATGTGACACAATCGTTTATACAGTGGTAAGGTCTGTGTTGGAACATGCATTTGGTTTTCTCAACTACGATAAACCTAGCTGCACAATACGCCTTCTTGTTGGTAAGTATTGGTCTTCATTTTAAAATTACATCATAAGATTCCTCTCGATATAGTAATGTGATATATAAACATTTCTCTTATAAATAAAATACATAGTTGGTTTCAATATTGATTGATTTCTACAACGGTTTATGAACTTCAATGGATATCCATTTTTTATTATCCTTTCAGTCAATATTTCGATGTCATTTTCCATTGAGTCTTCAGTACAGATAAGCTGCATCTTTTTGAATCAAGATTTTATCGAAACTCATTCATATTGAGTTGAACAAAATCAATAGAAACTCAAATACTGCACTGTCCTGAAAATCAACCGTTTATATTAAACAGTATTCCCTACGACTAAGGAGTATATTCAAGAATAGTAGATGGTTATCTCTTCTTTGTTAAGATGTTGCAGTGTACACCTCAATAATGTATAAAAAATTGCATTTATCAGTTTACGTTTGTAAGAACATATATACATAGGGAGGACTAGTGGAGATACGTATTATGAAACTGGCTTTTAAATGTTAGTCGTTAGTCTTTGGACGCAAAACAAAAGGTAGTTTCTCCGGAACTTACAAAGTTTACGCTGCCTTCTTCTAGCCTCGGTGCTAAAACGACGCTTAGGTATATTAATGAAAAGAGGAACCAACTGGTTTGGATCAATAGTAACGGTGCTTGAAAAGTTTGATTGGTTGTGTAAACCACTAACATCTGGATTTTCAATACTTCCAGTTACTGAACTTGAAGTCATATGATGCACTACTGATGGTTCTGAAAATGCAGGAGCTTGGGAATGACCAAGAGGCGCCAATAAACCCAATGATGTAGCAGGAGCAGTTTGTATTGATTCACCATCTTCAATACCATTTTCATTGATTGCATTCATACTACGGCCTGTATCATTTGTTAATGCGACCATACTTAAACTGTATGGATTATTTGAAGTTGGATTACTGAGGGAAAGATTTTCTTCAGCTACGGAAATTGTACTTTATGAATACAGTAAATTAAGTTGACAAAATAGTTAACATGCATGGTTCATTGGTTAAATCATTCTACAACTTATAATCGACAGCTTTTACCATCAATAACTGTAATGTCCTTATATAGTGTACATCAATTAATTAGTATTTACTCACGACTAAATTAAAATTATACGATCAAGGACAAGAGAGACAAAGAATTTACATATGATTTCTAAAATTTGTATGAATAGTTGACATTTAAAGGCCCACTTCAAATGGATTAACCCATAGATATGAGGTTGACGATTGGATACTAACAGAATTTGAACTAGTAACTTCATCCTATCATATGATCAGTCTACTAATCAGAGAGACTTCATATAGACTATATAATTGAAAGTGATTAATTTATTACGTAAATAAAATAATATAATATTGGTTAGTGAGATGTTAAAGACAAAAAAAAGGGAAAATCCCCACCATAATACGATTCAAAATAAATGCATTAAAACTGCAGACCCATTTCTCTAAAGTTGTGATGAAGTGTGGAAATAATGACCAGGTACAATAATCTTTCGATAAAAACTAGGTAGTAGTAGAATTTTATAACCAGAATGGCAGATAATAAAAGTGGCAACTAAGTGTAACGTAATTTTTTTTCAAATCAACTGTCTCCTCTGTGTAGTTCAGAATGTTCGAAATACTTTCCAGACTAAGCATCCTTTACTGATCAGAACTCGACACAACAAGAACTGGAAACTGTTTTAAATACGCTAAAGGATTTACCATACATACATGAACAAAGGAGTACGAATATCTGTTAATGATGATTTGGCGGAAGTTTAAGGCTTGATTGATATTCCCACGACCAAATCTGAATCCTGTTCAGTTTTATGCTCAGGAGGTCCTCTTAGATGAAGAATAACTATATATATATATATATATATATATATATATATATATATATATATATATATATATATATATATATATATATATATATATATATATATATATATATATATATATATATATATATATATATATATATAGAAGGAGTGGGATGTAAAACTTATAAACTTACCTTATGTCGGTGGGTAAACTTGCGGTTAACATAGGTCTGCCAATAACTTCACGACGACATCGACCACTGGAGAAGTGATAAAATGTGATAAGAAACACAATTTCAAAAGAAATATCAAGTAAAGCAAGATAGTAGTTGTAGTAAGTAGATGATGTATACTGTATGCAAAACCTCAATTCTTCAGATAAATGTGAACTCTACTGTTGTGTATATTTATCCATTGACAGTATCGTAAAGACTTAAGAATAACAAGAAAACTTGACTTACGAGAACGTAAAAGTTCTTGTTCTTTGGAATAAAGCTCGTTTCGATTTAACAGGTTTAACAGACGAAGATTTATCCAAACTAAATTAGAAGAGTAAAGTGAGAAAATGAGTAATTTATTGTAGAAGGTTGTATGAGACATAATGCGGCTGTTGAACAAACATGAAAATCTCCATACCAGCATTTAAGCCCCGTTTAGTTTGATCAGTGGTTTAACGATTATGTTTATGTTCTGCTCATACGATTGTAAGAAATAAATGTCGAATAGGACAGTCGACCTAGTTAGTCTCTTATTCAAATCACTACACAATTAATTCATGAAGGAAAAAAGAATATTCAATATTTTAACTATAAAACCCTAGGCAAATATGAAGTCTTTACAAGAATATATTAACTCAGAATTTTCCACCTATTTCCTAAAAGTATTAAATAAGTCACATCGACCGAGCAGTGGTCTGGTACAATTTGTAGATTTCCACATGAAATCGCTTCTACATAAACAAAGGTATTTCTAAGATGATAAATAGAGATAACAGATGGTTACAGAATAGAAGACAAACAGAGCTTTGAATAACAGCTACCTCTAAACCTTATGACAGACAGTATATGAAATTATGACTGATCTTTCTGTCACTGTGACATAAACCTTAATTTTACTGAATATATATATATATATATATATATATATATATATATATATATATTGAAAGAGACCGAGTTTTCATATTTTCTGGACAGATGACCATGTAGTGAAGTAGAAAAATAGGACAACTTTACACAGGAAACAGATGGATAACAGTAATGAGATGTTAGGAACTAAAAAAGCAACGAAGGAACTTCACCAAACATAGGGGTGAGATCATTGTTATCATTGTTATTGATGCTATTTAGAATAAAAACGTGTTACAACTTAAGCTCTAAGAAATGCATTATACAAAATAATATAGTAACACTAAGGAGACAAAGAAAATTGAAGAGAACGGGTTTTTAAAGAAGCAGGTTCACACATGCATACATACATACATCAACGGAAGCATTCACTACTTTCATCCTACTTTTCGACAATAGAGGCAAAAGAGTCGCAGCATGATCACCTCTGTGACATGTGTACTATCTTCTCAAGACATTGAAGTAGATAACCCCTCAGACTCCAATCCAGGAAGTTAAAGGTATTTACATATATTAATTCAAGACAAATATGCTTCATCACCCGGTTACCTCACCTCTCCCTTTCCTCAGAACAGTCCTAGGATAAGCAAACAGTGATTGGTTTGGGATCCTTTTGGGACAACACATATCCAAGCCATCGACACTAATGTTTCAAAATGACCACACTCAGTGAATGACGATCTCTATCAAGCTAACACATCCTCTCGATTCAGAATTAATTACAAAGTTTTTCCGCTGAATATTAGTTCTATGAACATGAAAGTGATCAAACATGTATAGTCATTGAAAAACTCTAGTTCAGAAAGGCCAGACTTCATAGGTGTAGAGCGGAATTGTCCACATCGATGCCTTTGTAAACTCGACCTTTTACAAAAAGGCTAACGTCATCAAAGGTAACCCAGATTGGAGTATGCCACTCTGGCCTTCCATAAACACTTGTAAATCTAATTAATCAAACTTCCACCAGCATATACACAACTATCCATGTCCACAAACATTTCAAAAAATCTCAATGGCTTACCATCAAGGGTGGGCGCAGGTACAGGCTCCTGACAATTGTGTGGAAGTGCTTTACGCTTTGACAGCGTGAAGAACATGTCATACTTGCAAACACTGATCGCTAGCAGACTGAGTGAAATTTCAGTAGCCTGAGTGTCATAGCCCAGTAAAACAATATCATCTGCATATTCTAGGTCAAAAAGTCCTACATTTGGTAACAGATCTACACCAACGACACCGCCACGCATCTCCTTCAGGATTGTCTTGAGAATGCCATTGACGGCGAAGTTGAAGCGGAATGGTGAATGTTTAACCTCAGTATTAGTTGAGAAAAATGAGGAGGGGAGGTTTCACACCAATGCTCTGTCTGAGGTATTTTTGCATGGGGATCTGAAAATATTAACGAACTTCTCAGGGATACTCCTTCCTCACAAAATATTCCAGAATGAGGTCCTGCCCGATGAGTAGACGGTGGCCCTAATACCTACTGCTATTTAAGTATCTCCATCGGTGAACCATCTTATCCACAAACCATCTCATCAACACCGGTTTTTTGATACTGATGGCTCGGATGAACTGGAACAAGTTCCGACTATTGCTACATGCCACTGCTCCTTCTATCTAAAATGCATTCTCTGACTGCTGACCCTCATGATCCTTAGGTTAGTGTCATATATTCTATTACGTAATGAACTTACGCATACTATTGTACTTGCTGTCTACCAGGGTACCCTAACGAGCGTCATGAGGTTTTAAAAAGATCACAGAGACCACGTGTTTATCGGCAAAAACGCTTTTCAAAACCGCCAGCGACTTTACACACCATTTTCATACCTTTCTGTAAGTGAAGCAAATGCTCATCTGTGGTTCCTAGGAGGTTCCAGAGCTAGACGTGAATTCATACCAGTTCAATGTCTAGTTACAATACTAAGTGCAACTAGTTTGCTTAATTTGACCCTTTGGAGAACGACTTTGATGACCACCAAAATGTGATCTGAACTTCGTACACACTAAAGCGTGATCACGGTCCAAACAGGTGTTCCAGAAGGGACGGTAGTCCTGAATATATCTTCATCATCAGTAACCAACTGCGATGTAACCTAACTTACTCCTGGCTTGAGTGGCAGCAGGAGGACACAAGGTAGCCTAACGGTGATGATTGTGCAGGAATTTGGTGTTGGTTAAAAACATATTTTGGTCTGAGCAAACCTATAAAGACGTTTCCTACTATCTGACCTAAAACCAAATAATCATCGGTTACTACTTAAATGACCCTCTCCTGAGCCTAGAGGCTTGATCTGTGCATTTAAGTTCCCAAATGCCACTACGTTACTTGTCAAAAACAACTGACAGAGAAGGTTACTCAAATGACGGTAAGACTCATTATTAACTGCATCCGACCTGCAATCAGTGCTGATATTAGCAAATATGACGAAGAGACATCATAACCTTTCCCAGTTACTTCTCACTCTAATCGAACGACCTAGACTAACAGCAGACTGATGACGGAATCCAGCTGACTAGTGCACCTTCGGCTCTGCTACTTCATGCGCAACTAACAGCAGTGGGTCCGGTTTCTGATGTTATAGCGTCCTGGGATAAGCGCGCTACAAACATATTCTTCGATGCGAAAGATAGTCAAAGTACTTCCTTGGATCTTGTATGCGGGTATCCGAGACATAAAAGAGATTAGTGATCAGGCTTATCAGAGTCCTAGCCAAATATATATGTTTACCGATTTGCATTTAGGTTCAAACATTGATGGTAGATAGCTTAAACAGTGCACACGTTTTCAAAAGCGTTGTATCGGATATCTCACTGACAGATAAGCTTTCCGGAAACAACAGTTTAGCAGCGATAGACGATGAAGAAAGACTGGAATTTCAGTCAGTGGTGAACAGCTGATTAAAACAAAGATACATATATACAAGTGACGACAAATAAACAATACAGCTAGTACGTAAAAAGAACGACAATGTAAAGACAATAAATTAAGTGATTGAGTAGTTCCTTACATGGTGAATGCACTTTGAATTTTAGCTCATCTCCTACTTTGTATTTTTAATTGTACTTTCTTTTAATCTACCATCGGTCAATAATGTTCGAATATCACTATTGCACAAATCATTAGAAGAAATCTTATGTGTAACCTGTAATATACTGAAATTGATTATAATAAGTATAGCTAAAAATAAACTATCAGGAAAAAAAGTTAAAACAAATGGCTCACGTGAAAAACAATTGCCGATCGGATGCCCATTCCCATAAAGCTTGTGCAACAGACTTATTATCACACTTATAATGAACAGTTGTCGTTGTCTACAATGTAAATTATAAAACAAAGACAAAAAAGAGAAGAGAGGAGAAAATATTTGATGTATACGTCAGAGTAACAAAAAAAAAATTAAACGATTTATCAAAACAAACAGTTTAAGAGAAATAGCGCATCTTGAAAGTAACAGTGGAAGTTTTAGGTAGGGAATAAGGCGTACCAAAACATAAATACACCATTTTAAGAGAGTAAAAGAACACACAACAAATTTGAAACATACGGTTTAGCCAAAAGCAAAAAAAAATTTGTAACACCCATTAAATTATTTCTCAAAATGCAGTAATTCATTTATCATATTGATTGATGATGAAATAGATTTAGCACATTTCTACTTTTTATCTTTTCATCTGAAGCCATGTTAGATTGAAGTAATAATAATATACATTAAGAGTTAATCAAATAAGGAATCATTAGACTAAAAGCATCAAACCTACAGTATACATATAACGAAAATAAAAGGAAGCAACTAAGGATAAAAGTTAATAAAAAGAGTAGTTCAAGTGAAATTTCCAGCAATATTTTGCAAATAGAATAATAAAACATGATAAGTATTGTTGAACTTACTTGCTTTAAACTAAAAATAACTAATGGAGTAAGAAGGAGATATAACAAATATCTTTATATGAAAAGGATAAAGTTTAAAAGTAAAATAGATAAGAAATACAATGAATAGCAAACATTTCAACAGACTAGAATTGGTAGGTACTTTTTAAGCATTTTCTTTTGTTTACGGTTTTATCATGATCTCGTTATATGACTTCTGATTTCATACCTGAATTGTGGAGTTCTAGATTTTGTTACCAGCCGGTCCTAAGCCCAGGTAAAGAGGGAAGGTTTGGCATAGGGTTAGCAACCCTACCCCGTAAAACCAATCCAACCGCTTTAGAAACATCAAATAATAATATAGATTTTGTACCCGTGGTGACAAAAAGATAGTTTCACTAAATAGCGTATAGAATATGGCAGGTTTTTCTACAATTATGGACAAGTTTATGAAGAATACTTTGTATTTACAGAAGGACATTTGACACGTATAAACACTACATTCATTGTTTAATATCTAGCTGCCTAAAGCTCGGCAGCCTAAGTGTGACTTACACTCAATTCATGTTGCCCAAAAGCCAAGTAAATAAACCAATCAGTCACAGCTTTAACAATATGGGAGAAATAACGTTTATTGGGTGATGAAGTAAGGGGATTTTTTGTGCAACTCATGGATTATCAATACGTTTGAAAAATATACGACGAAACATATCCGCAGTATGAAAACTGACGATAATACTTGACTACAAGGACTAGGTAGAATAATAGATAGCACCCGTAAACCTGGTGATGTCAATTCCAGTAAGTTACAAGGTAATCCTTAATATAGCGAAATATGTATGTATGCACAATGGTGTGAGAGTTTTTCTAACAAAGTGTGCATTGACTACACCTTACCTGCTCATTTCGTTTATCAAATGCAAAACCCTATCACGTTAATTATTTAATAAGTCTGTTTTTCGGCAAACCACATTCATCTCAGTGATATTTGTAGTAGAATCACTAACACTAGTTTTACCTCACTACATGTATTTATGGCTGAGTTACTTACTTACTTATTTCATCCTAGAACTGAATTTTATGTATACACACACATTTCCATAATTTTTAACACAGCATTAGCGAGTATTTTGTAGATTATCAAGACTGTTTTATACTATTGGCTGCGTTGCCAGCTATCATTGGTTTCCAGTCTTGGTCAAAATTATAAAAATAGTGAATAACGGGTCTATTCATTTTTTTGCTTCTTCTCACTCCATAAACTATCGCAGAAAGTTCCCGTTCATTTTATTTGCAAATGAATCATTGATTACAACATATATGACAGACTGATATGAAACCGTTACGATGTTCATCTGACTGTCTTAGGTCCTGTTCTTCAACAATGAAACCTGAACACTCCGAGTTTCAGAATGTACTACGGTTCTTTAAGTAGTATCACTATCAACTGTGTAGCAAACCGTTGAGTGGATAGTAATAGTAATATTTCTCCGAGTATCCTAAGGATTAAAATAATCTTTGCCAAGGCGTTTCGGGTATTCCGACATTCATATACAACCTTGTTTGAAGACGATGAAAAAAAATGAGAATAAGTTAATGACTGAGATCGTTTCACGGTAGGAAAAAAAATTTGCGTTGGTTCACAATCTACTAGTTTACCAAGACTTTACAGTTTCCTCTTACAGACTTTACCAAACATGACAGAATGCATTATCAATACTATGGAATTTTGAGATGTACCGTTCGATGCCTCAGATTTAAACAGGTTTTGATTGAAATAAATGTATCAGTCAAAGTGTAGATACTGTCGTATAATCTCAACAGTTCTTCCTCATGTAGTTTTTGTGTTTATTGTAATTTTAATGGTCTGTAGACCGATTAAGTTCTTGTTGTTTAATTATCAACATAATTTCTCTAATAAGCAGTGGACATTTTTAGCACCTACGCAGAATTCCTATGTTTACGAACTGTTGCTAAGCGAAAAATGAAATTGTCATTGTTTTATTCCGTTTCGCCAATTCATTTGTTTAGATTTTCTTGAGTAATAAAGATTGTAAAGTACATCTTTTCATTATTTAGTTGGTTATAACCTACAATGCAATGATATGATAGTTTAGAATTTGTTCCTAACATACATTATACAGATGAACTACAACTAAATTATCATTATGCCACGATATCACACACTGGTCTGACGTGTTAGTCGATAAAGTAACAAACTTTGTTTTGTAGGACTTCCGCTGGCAATCACTAAAACATTTTTAAGATAACCGGTAAGAAATCATAAGATAATGAATAAAGGATTGTTAACAATATTCTAGTAGCATAAATCATAACATAAAAAGCCATGAAGTGCATCACTTGTACAACCTGATAGGAATATAGAGGTTTACAGTAAATATTCTATGAAATATACTCTGCATAACCAATTGATGCTGACATAAATTATTCAAGGAAATGTCCTACTAAAAGTGAAGATATGAACAGGAAATTTTTTTTCTCATCCTCAAATCAGTCATACAAAAGTCAAGCATACAGAAAAGCACACATAAAACTTATGTAAACTGTGCATACATGACAAGATTACAACATATACCTCGAATAACTTTTGAAACAGAGAGTAAAGGCATGCACATGATGATATGCCTAATAAATTACCTTCTTCTTACGTCCAGAATGCTGTTGAAATATAAAAAGAAGAATAGGATAAACAGAATGAACATCGCTAATAAATAAAAAGTATTTGAAAGATAAGGAACAAAAAAAAATAAGAAAATGAACCAAAATATTTTTTAGCACAACCTATTGTATCAGTTTAAACGCTGTCAACCAAAAGTTAAGTAGCATGATAGAAAGATTAAGATCGGTAACCATAATCCTAAAACGATTAAACTACTCAGAACAGAGAATGCAACACAACCAAGATAATCCTAACAATTTAACATTGTAGTTTTTTTTCACAATATACTTGTAAGTTATACTGGTTTGTTTTGATGAAAATCAGCCCTAAGGATATATAGGAATTTCATACCTATGGAACACTTGGACAGAAGAAATATGACATTCGAATATAATTCACAGAAAGTGATTATAATTGTTGTAAAATAAATATAAGAAATTCTGGAGATTTATATATTTGGTGGCAGACAAAATAAGCTAGAGATACATAGTCGAAACAACCATATATAATGACTCATATTACAATAGGGTTGAAAGATAGGGATTAAACAAAATAAGTGAATATTTCTTGCCAAAACAATTCTTCAGCGTGAACAAAAACGATATGCACGCAAACATCTGTTTGGAGTATAACAATTTAGTTACTTAAGAGATGTTTCAACATTTTTCAACTGCTATGAGAAAAACAAACAGACAAAGCGACGTAGAACCCTACACAGATTGCATCAGTTCAATTTGCCGAACCTCACAATAGTACAAAGAGGAAGAAAGTGTATACATCTTAGCAGTTGTGACCGATTCTACGTCATACTGATGGTTCTTCAACCATTGATTAATAAGACCTCGAGGACCCCAACAGGGCAATCTGTGTCCCTACACGGGCTCAGACCAACAGTTAGAGACTTTCTTATCTTGTCTAGTACCCTGATTCTAACCTGGACATGCATGAAATGGTAGTCTCACAGCAAGTGGAAAGGGTTACCTGAGATCGAAACACTGTTGCTTTTTCATGTCTTCTACTTACATAAGCCACGATTAGTAGTCCTTCAGTCGGAAAAAGTGAACTGCCGAGTAGCATTTTCACCCTTTGGCAGATTCTCGGATATCACATCGTTGTGAAAAATGAGACTCCAACCATTAGTTCGAGCTGTCACACAGATTGCAACCTGGAGACCAGCATTAACGTACACAGCTCAGACCGACAGATGACGTCTTACACTAGATACTCAGCTTTATCTAATTCAGTCTTACTTTAGTAATAACAATACGTTGATGTGGATGGTGTATCGGAAGTTGTAGCACGCGTATGTATATGAGTAGATGGGATAAATAAGTGAGGGTAAAAAAATGTTCAAGACTTTGAAGATAACAAAAAAGTGCACATGTCGGTACCGTTATGACCGATCTTCTCTAACCACTGATTTTGATTACATGCAGGAACACAGTCAGACAGTTTACACTTCCCCACCACACGTGAGCAATTATGCGAAGATAACTATGGTCAGAAACATGTAACCTCTTGAAATACGCTACTTTTAATGGTCATGTCTCACAGCCGCATAAAAAGCGGATTGCTGTTCTTTATACTTATCCTTCAGTACGTAGTCGGATATCTCGCTAAATAAGCCATCAAATTTTCAAACATCTTTGGAATCAGAATTGGGGTTTCTTCAGCGACCAACCCAGTTAGCTGGTGCAACTTCAAAAGTCAAGTGGTCAACGTATTCTATCGTTTCACTCCCAAACACTAAACTAGGAGTTGATGCAGACCACTTTTGAAACATTACCTTAAGCTTTACAGGCGTAAAAGGCATACAAAACATACTCAGAATTCTACCCAAGATGTTTCACGAGATTGCACCTGTTTGCATACTCAGAAATCAACCAGAAACTCTATCAAGAGTAAGTCAATCCTTGAGAATTCAGTGGTAACTAAAGTTATATCCACGTTTGTGATAAGATTGAACGAGAATTTTGACAGTGGGTATCTTCAGCGGATATCACTTGTCGTTACTTCAAACGACAATTCTCCGTAAGCTTCTACACGGCTACGAGAGTTCAAGTAGATAGCTTTGATTAGCATAATAGACTTGCTCTGTACTCTCTTTACAATCATACACTACATCCCTGTCTGCGAAGTCAAATATTTATCACAAAGTCAAGAAATCTGCCAAACTTCCAGCGCCGGCAAATATGCATGTAATTCAAATTCTATCAAAAGATGAAGATCCGATCGATGCACTCACGTCCAGGTGTGAACTGCCTGGTTTTATTTCAAGTTCCCCGACCTCATAATTGAGTTAGGCGACGAACAACTATGGACCCCAGGATCTTGGACATCATCTTAACAAAAACTGATTCCCCTGTGGCTGTTAGACGAAAACGACTCTCCTGTCTTATAAACCGGAATGATTAGCGAACTAGACTAGTCTGAAGGGACCGCCTCCGATTTCCACACACTAGCTGGTACCTCTGATACTCTACTCAGTAATTCTTTACCTCCATTCTTAAAAACTGGTGGCCCTCTCGCTTGGCATCGTTCCAGGTTTTGAACAGTCTTCTTGAGTTCGAGAGTTGGCGGACCGACATGTGCATCCCATTCAGGTAGTTTCATGTTGAGTAGTTGGAGTGTGGCTGTCTGTCAGTTGAACTGTCTCCTGGAAGGTCAACTCTCTTTTATCTTTCAGACAAACGTCCTGGAAGTTTGTCGGCAATCTATGCTTTTCGGTGGTAGTCTCATCGACCACCATCAATCTCGTATGTCTTTTTGACAGAACTACATTACTGCCAATTGTAAACTAGGGCAGATGCCTTTTGCCAACAGCTAATGCTCAGTCTTTACAAAGGTTTAGCAAGTTTACCTTTAAGCTGCTTCCGCTCTTCATCGGGAACGGAGCTCTCCAGAATTAGTCACTCTGCGCTAGCCAGTCCGGATGATCATGTAGAAATATACTGTATTTAACCTTAGTAGTAGGTTGGTAAATATTTTCCATTGTTTCTACAGTGTTGAGGTATAGTGATATTTGAGAGTTTTGTTCTTTGCATCAAACCTGACAGCTCAACATTGTTTGCATTTCAGTAAGTGGACATGTGGACAAAGACTACAGATAGACACCGATAAGCATCATAGTCGTTTCCAGTAATTACATAGTCATTCGGTCAGATAAAACATAGGCTATCAACTGCGAACTAGTGTGCTACCTGTCTTACAACTTACTGCAGTACCTACACCATAGAGTCCACGGGATCTAACGATCGAATCTCTAGACATTTTCATAGTGAACTCCACAAAGTCACTACTTCGTCACGTGAAATAAAGCAAATAACCACACTTTGGCCATGTATATAAGTTTCAGAAGTGCAGTGAACATCCGCAGATCGAGATTCCGCAGTTCTAGTAAAAACAGCCCTTTGTGCGATTTAACGTAGGCTTAGGATATTGAAGGTTTTAATTTAAAATTGGTAGTGTTTTTTCAAGATGCTATGGTTTGTAGAAATAATCAGGCGACGGAAAGTCGCAGGGTAATGTACAGCGCATTTTCTTTAGGGCCTGCCTCTGATGAAACCTCTCACATTGTTATCCACCCAACAGTACAGTACACTTTAAAAGTAACTGCTTTTAGCAGTAACACTTCCGATAGACCATCTCGGAACAGTTGTCCAAGTTACTATAGATAGTTGAGCGATGAAGACATACAAGGACAACCACGACATCAAAGAGGCAGCTATAAACTTAAACTTGAATGTATCAACTTCCCCAACCTTAAGAATAATTGTTTACCTCGGAGCTCACGTTCCCAAAAGTATGCTACATTCACTGCTGAAGTAGTAGACTAGTATTTATAACACTAAGTAGTGAAAGTTTTCCTCCTTTTAATGTCTTAATTTTTATTCTCCTAAATGAAATAGCAACCTTGCCCAGTTTACTAGCCGGTCCTAAGCCCGGATAAAGAGGGAAGGTTGGGCGTAAAGCTAGCAACCCTATCCCATAAAACCAATCCAATCGCTAAAGAAACTTCCAAGCACATAGAAAACATAAAAAACAAAAATAAACGTATTCCTCGCTGGAATCAGGGAGATGAAATGACGCCGGTTGATGAAAGCCTTCGGGAAGCCTATTGGCCGATGTGTCTTCTCTTCTCTCGATGAAAGCAAAAGTAAGGATGGGGACATGGAATGTCCGAACAATGTCTGAACCTAGCATGGCTACCCAGATTGCAAAGGAGATGAGAAGGTACGGTAAAGAAGTGCTAGGAATCTACGATGAATCTGCAGATGGAATGGAAGTGGACTCTCCAAACCTTCAACTGGAGAGTCAATAATCTACTCCAATATTGACACCCAAACGACAACCACGAGCACACTGAGTTTTGCAGTGGCTATCATGATGTCCCCAAGAGCATCGAAGGCTCTCATGCAATAGGAACTAACCTCCTCTAAAACCACGATCACGACAGCAAGGTTCAACTCAAAAGGAAAGAAAGTTACAAACATACAATACTACGCATCTACAAATAATGCAGATCAAGAGAAGAGGGAGGAATCTTACAGACAACTGCAATCAGTAATACATAAGACCCCACCCACGAAGGCGACATCGAAATTCTAATGAGTGACATGAATGCCAAATTGGGAGTGGACAAAACAGGAAGATAACTCATCGTAGGTTTAGAGAGACTCAGTGAAATGATGAATGAGAATGGAGAACTGCTTGCAGAGTTCTGCGCATTTAATGATTTGGCGATTGGAGGCACTATGTACAAGCACAAGGATATTCACAAAGCAACATGGATTTCACCAGACACCAGGACACACTAAAAATCAGATCGACTTCAAGTCAATCTCAAGAAAGTGAAGACGCAGCCTACTGGACACAAGATCAGATCAAGAAGAGGAACAGATGTAGGTTCAGACTACACACTATCTAGTACAAGGAACCTTCAAAATCAAGTTGAAAGCCTTCAATTCAAGGAAGCTGGTGATAGACCACAGTTCAAGTTGAACACCTAGAACAGAAACTGAACTGAAGGACGAAACTACAAATGACATCTTTACGTCAGTCAGTGATCAGGAAAAAATGGGAGATATTAGGCACTATCCCGAGGAAACCTGCGTGGAAGAACACTGGAGCTCTTTGAAAGAGACGCGAAAGGAAACCTGAATAACCGTGTTACGAAGGAAGGAGAAGAGGCAAGACAAGGAATGGATCTCCACGAACACATCGAAGCTGATAATAGAGCAGAAGAAGATGGTGATGGTGAAGCAGAAGATGAACCAGTGCAGTGCAAGGATGAACAACGAAAAGAGGAACTAAGTACAACCTAAAAACACTACACCGGAGAAAGAAGTGAGGAAGAGTGTGTGGATAGACAAAAGACACTTCTATGACACGCAATCGAAGCAGAACAGGTTATAGGTAGGAGAGACCTGATAACGTTATATCAAATAAATAGGAACTATCTGGGAAGAGATCAACGCAGATGAAACCAATGAAAGGTAGTGAAGGAAACCTAGTTACCAAAGAGGAGAAACAAAGGACAAGCAGACGATGGGCTGACCACTTCGGAAAGCACTTGAATCGACGACGACCACCACCAGCAACTCGTTCAGAAATACCACCAGCAACCCAGCTATAGAACTACCAGTGAACACAAGCCCTCCGATAAAAGCAGAAGTCCTGAACGCCATAAAACTGCTGAAATCCGGGAAAGCAGCAGGACCAGATGAAATTTCGCCAGGGGCACTGAAGACAGCCACAGAGATATCAGCGGACATGATCACACCACTATCACAGTAAATTTTCAAGGAAGGAAGGAAAGGTACCTGCCTATTGATTGGAAATAGGACTACCTTGTCAAACTTCCAAAGAAGGGAGACCTAAGTGTTTGCAAGAACTGGCACAGAATCATACTACTGTCCACACCAAGCAAAATATTATGCCGCATCATCCTGGAGAGACTAGAGGATGCACTGGATTCAAATGGATTACGACCGGAACAGGCTGGCTGGCTTCAGGAAGAACAAATCATGTGCAGACCAAATCGCAACGCCACGCTATGCATCATCATAGAACAGAGTATAGAATGATAGTCAACTCAACCTCAACTTTCGACAGAGTAGACCGACAAGTAATTTCTCAGGCAGCTGCTTCAACACTACGGAATACCATAAACCTTTGTCAGCCTCATTCAACAACTATATGAGGACGCTACATGCCAAGTAATTCACAATGGGAAGCTCAGTGATCCTTTTGAAGTGAAGACAAGGGACAGGAGTAAGACAAGGCTGTCTACTATCACCGATGATCTTCCTGATTGTGGTCAACTGGACTGGAGCATGCAACAGCCGTGGGGAGCGAGAAGAGGGGCATACGCTGAACCAATGAAAAGTCCTTAAAAGAAGATTGGGTTTTCGCCGCCGATGATGAGTTTTGTCCAATGCCTTGTCGCACAAACTGGAAGATCTAAAGGCGAAAACTAACAAGTTGGCAAAAAAGGCAAGGCAGAGAAGATGGGACCTCCTTCAGGTGAACGTAGAGAAGACAGAGGTGATGAAGATACCGAACCACCAACAACAAAGAGAATCAATCACTATGAACGGGAGAAATCTAAAGGGAGTTGTTTCTTTCACCTACCTAGGCAAGGCAGTATCGTTCCAACTACAGGCAAGACAGATGAGGACATCACAGCAAGGATCGGAAAGACAGCAAAACAGGCCTTCATTAACCTGAAATCAGTGTGGAGATCTACTGTATTGCACCGCACTCAGCATAAAGTGTGAACAAGATCCAGATTTTCAACACTAAGTCAGTCAAGTCAGTGCTTCTGTGTGGTGGTTCAGAAACTTGGCGTGTTACGAAAAGAATTTCCAACTGCAGACATATATCAACAGTTACCGCCTACGCTCACTCGATACTGAAGACCGATCAAATGGCCAGAATTATAAGAGTAAGCAACAAGGAACTCTGAACTGGCAACGAAGCGACCAAGAACCTATGGTCCAACAAATCTGCAGAAGAAAATGGAGATGGATCGGGCATACACTGAGAAGACCATTCGGAGACATCATGCACCAGGCCATCGAGTAGAATCCAAAGGGGAAACGACGAGTTGGGCGTCCGAGGGAGGAGGTCATGTGAGGAAGAAATGAAAGCTTCTGGGTAGTTGTGGAGCCAGGTTAAAAGGACTGCAGAGAACAGAGTAAAATGGTGACGTGTTTCTGAAGCCCTTTTTTCCACTAGGAACCCAAAAGAAAAATAATAAGTAATAATAATAAATGAAATAGCAGTAACAATCCTACTGAACTATTACTCTTCTTACATTTGATAAAATGACTTCTTCAAAGACAGCTAAAACCATATATACATAAGACAAGTGGCAACAAGTGTAGCAACTTGAGCCGGTGCACCTCTGTGGAAAGTTCTACGTTTATTCTGTCAGTCAGTCAGTCAGTCACATATGACTTCTTGATATACACAACCACCAACGACATTACCTTATCCTGAAAAACAAAGTAGTACAATGTAGTGTAAGATAAAAAAATATTTACCAGCAGTTTGCTTATTACAGGTTTGTTTCTCACTACTTGATATGAAGTCTAGAACGGGGAAACAAAAATGGTCAATATGGGGACAATAACTGCCTTTTCAGTTTACTTTTAATGCAAACCCAGTCATCAATAAAATATGTTAGGAAGATATTCATGTTTAATGACAAAACCTTTGGTGTTAATGATCAAAGTAATAAATGAAACAAAACGGTAAACAAGTTTACGTGATGTGAAGAAGTCGCTAGGACAAAGTCTTTGCCATTGCACGTCATCCAAGATATAGCTGACCTGAAGGTTAAAATACATATTACAATAATTAGTTCAAATGAACCACTTACTTAAAATTCAAGTATGTATCTCACCTAACTGAAATGGTTAGATAATGTAACCAAATTCTAAGTGAGCTCTCTTCCCTACAAGATCATAGTGAAAAACCTTATATTAAATAAAATCAAACGCATAGATTTGTAAAGGCATTAATGAGTAGATTGGCATAGCAAAACTGCATTGGCTATTGAATACGCTTAAAATAACTTTTGTTTTTTGTAAGATAATAGGGCGTTAATAAATTTTCAGTGACAAGGTCACACATGAGCCATTCGTGACCCCGTTTGAGTACATATCTCTTGAGGAGGAACTCAGAAGCCAAATCCATCTCAGTGGCTTAGTGGCAACCTGCTCGCCATGAGACCTGATAGTTTTGAGTTAGACCACCGACAGGGTCGCGAGTGCGCGTTGTTGATGAATCCCATATAAAAACGAAACAGCTATCCAGTTCTTCCAGGTTTCTGATGGCTCAATGTTAGTGCATGATGAATACCATTTTGCAATGTACCAACCCCGATAAATCTTTGAATTAGACCACGAGATATCCATTTTGATCGACAGAAAACGATAAAGGAAAGGAATGAACCACATAGAAGAAACATTATTCTTATTTGTATTTTATTAATGCAAATTAACTTTCTTTCGTCGGCTTCAAAGCAATTTAAACTACTAAGCTAATGTTCATCATTCATCTCAAATATCTAGGCACCCAACTTACAACTGACGAGTCATGGGTTCGAACCCAGCTTTACCTATCGATGTTTGGACAGCTAGGGAGTTTTACTAGCCCCCTCCCCCACAATAAGTGTGGTTTATTGCCTACTGAACGAACATGTACAAAGTTACTGAGATCATTTTGATCCGATTTAATTAACGAACAGAGCAAGAAAAGTCACATAACTTAGAATTCCAGTCCTACAATCAAGGTAAAAATTGGTTGCTTTGAATTAAGAATAGGCCTTCATAAGAGAATAATCAATGAATAAAACGTCTATAAAATATTGTATAATGATTTATTTATTTCATAAAAAGCAACCTTCTGTTTTTGATTCAGTATTTTGTACCATTAGAAGAGTGTGGGCGGTTGGTACTTCCCAGCAGCTCACACCGTGAAAGGTTAGTTCTTCTTGAGACACCTGAGAAAGATCGGATAGTGTGTGACTGTAGAGCTCAAGAAAAATCTGATAGAGGCTAGTCACACAGTCTTTCAGCAAGTTTGAGATTTTGGTGTTTTGCTTTTGAGTTCGACTATGAATCCCTGTTTCAGGCATCAGCATGCTACAAAGGGATAGAAGTGTGCTATTTTTGAGGCCGATCTTTTTCACACACACCCTCCCCATAGGAAAGGCAGCATCAGCGTAACATTTTTATTCATCCAAGAAAAAAAAAATTACTCCTGTGATACCCTATCCAGTTAGCAGTACGGCTTCACTCTTAGAACCCCATCATAGCATACCAATTAACACTATATTGGTAACTGCTTTTTGTTTAACTACTATCCAACAGACGCTTTTAGTATGGCAGGACCTCGAGGGAGCAAGCGCTCTACTAGCATAGCTCTTCAGGTCACTGTGATATACAAACCCACCAACCACGTCATGGGAGGAGCGATTAGAATTCAAATAAACAAAAATTTGCATCGTACAATCAAAAGATTCAGTTCTGTCAGTTGTATACAAGATAATTTTGATATTCGCAGACAGAATTCCAAATCTTTCATAGAGAAAAATAAGCAGTAACCAAAAGAATGACCAACTAGAGGAGTTACTGACTGTATGTGAGTTATATCTTGAACTAAAATATTGACATCGTGATTATATATATATATATATATATATATATATATATATATATATATATATATATTACGACCTATGATAGATAATGAGAACATTTCTGGTTGATTCGTTAATAATAGGCATACAAAGTAGAGTACAGAAATGAACATACCATGGATACAACTTCTGACGTCGATTACTTATAAATTCAGCAACACCTTGATGAGTCAGACCCAAATGAATGTGTCGTGAACCATAAGCTTTAGTCTGAAATAAAACAAGAACAGAGATTACCTACTGGATTATTCACGTAAGCATTGTATGTCAATAAGTACAAAGAAATGTTCTTCGGAAAATAATTTTCTTATAGATAATATCCTTCACTTTCAAACAAGATATGTAGGTAACTTCAGCTGACAATCAGTAAGAAATTATTGAAATATAACTTCACATCCAATGAGAATTGATAATTGAAATACATTGAAAAATATTCACGAAACAATTATACCCATTTTACATTATGCGAATTTTGTGAACGTGAAAAAATTTTATCAGCAGTAGAAAAAGGTATTTCAGATTCACTATATGCATTTCACAATGAAGGAGTATTGTTCATTATACTTTTACTGCTTATTTAATGATTATTATTTATTTATTTGTATGGGTATAATACTGTTTTACTGTGATACGTGTAATAAAGAAACTACAGTGAAATTATGCTCTACCACAGTGTCTGAATTCTACTCTTATATTAAAAGTATTTCAGAACTAAAACTGCTAAAAAGAACGTCAAAAGCCAACAAGCTCAGTCAGTTAATAATCGAAGCCAAACCTGGCAGTACTGTGTAACGGTTATGTTCTACCATATCTCACAGCAACAAATCAAGATACAAGACCATAAGATGAAAGATAGAGAGAAAGGGAGAAAAATATTTAGTATTTGTAGTAATCATATCAGGATATCTAGATAACATCAGGACATGATGTTGCAACATTTTTGTGAACAAAATTACAGTGCTTTCTCACTTTCAGGGTACCAATAAAAGACGAAATCTACCAAACATAACATAAGAAAATCAAAATTCACAACGTAAACAAACCGCAAAAAATAACAATATTACAACTGATGGAAATTATTTCAAGTGTAGTAAATTAAACAACCAATCACAAACAATGGAGCTGAACTGTCGAGAGATTCGATGGAAGTTACCTATTTCGCTCGAATGACATGAGGTACATCATACGCATGCACCAATTTATCAACAGCAAGAAAAAAAATACACCGAATACGAACTTATGAAAATATAAGGCGAGAAATTACTTCACTATATTTCTAGAGACTTTGTCGTAGTAATTATTATTTGCCACATGCTGACTTGGATCACAGTTCATTGGTTGCGTTTTTCTTCCATTCCATGTAGCCGAAAAAGTGCATCCAACTTACTGTCAACTGTATAAGATGAAAGTTTGCAATGCAAATCTAGATAGTTTTACATTACTTTGAATAACCTTGTAAATGATATCAGATTATCATTAAAATTAAATGATTACAAGCAGTCATCATGTGCATGTATGCATAGTAGGCTGTGAGCTAAACTCAGTATGTTAAAGATTGCACAATGATCTAGTTGTTTGCAAAAAACATGTGCATTGGATTCAAATTATGCAAATATCACTGGAAAAGTGAATACTTAGTACATTCACTCATAGCCAAAAGAGGAAATGTAGTTGACTAGACGATGGCTTTCAGAAGATCTAGTTGCCACAGTTTCAATGCCCACCAAGGGTCGAACCCAGGATCATCAGGTCTTGTTGCGAGCGCGATATATATATATATATATATATATATATATATATATATATATATATATATATATATGGAGAGAGAGAGAGTGATAAACAGAGTGAAATTACATAACCATCCATGTTTTGTAAGTTAGGCCATAACTAGTACAAATATGATGTATATATAGCTTAAGACTCTAGTAGATATAAAAGAACGTGTTTTATAAAGCAACACAAATACTTCACAAATGTTATCGCCTTAAGGAATGTAAAATTAATCAATGGTAATCTTTCAAAAATCAGTGACACTCACTTAACCTAATAGTTTTTGTTCCGATTGACTGCTTGGTCTGGACATCCTGAGCCTCCTTCAAAACTGAATCCAACATACCCAAGCATGCTACATCGAGGTAGGGTGTGGTTCGGCATGCGCAACACATGTCCAAGTCATCTTAGTCGATGAAGGTTCAAAACCTCATCAACCGACTTTTCTGTCTTGCCTAGTACCCTTCACCTGACCTCATTACTGCTCACACAATAGTTCCACCAAATGTGAGCAATGTTAAGAGAACATCTGTGAATAGAACCCTGTAACCGCATCATGCCCTCTGCTTTTAACGGTCATGTCTCAGCTGTACAACAGAACAGAACGGACTGCAGCCCTGTTTATTCGCCCTTTGATAAGTAGTGGAATGTGTCGCTTGTCTGGACCACACACAGATGATGCAAGTTGCAAATTGCAAACGAGTTTTCAGTATCCATGATGAGATTTCGTCAGCAACCAGCCCAGTTGGGCTGATACGACTCCTCAAGTAAGTGAAATGGCCAACCAAAGAACAAATGGAGTAATAAAAACCGATTAGTAATAAAACCAACCACTTTACTCCTCTCATAGCAAACCCACACTGATGAAACTATACTTTTCTTACAACTAACTGATGATAATACTATACAAATATTAAAGGAGTTTGCACAATACGATAATGCCGTCCTAACTTACTGTTGATTACTTTAGTTAGGGAGATGATATGTCACAAAGAATAACAAAAATACTAATATTTGAAATAAGTTCTAACCAAAGCATAAATGGTCTAATCGAGTAGTTGTGCCAAAACGAATTGCATAAGCACAGAAAAGGATGAGGAAATATAAAGCAGGCAACGGAATGGGTCCTTTTTATAGCATTTCTGCTGAGGTTGTGGGTGAAAACAGGTGCCTCATACACACACAGATCTGGCTTATTCGTATAAATTATCCTAGCCTTAACTGCGAATGACTTGATAAATAGCTTTAAAAGTTTAGTTCGCAAAAGATCGACGACTAATATCCACTAGATGTTAAACGTACCGTATTACTTTTACCGACAAACTGTCAAACCCCGAACCAGACATTTTTGTAATACGATGACGGGTCTTCACAGGTCTCGTACCCAATGTAACCAGCAAAACCCGTGAATCCACAAACAAGGAGAAAATTATGCCACATGTCTTCATTTTCTCGCACTCAATATTGGCTAAGTAAAGAATAGTGAGCGGAATTTCGCTGCATTCAAAGCTTTTCCTAGACACTATGTTAGAATTTCATGAATGGTGTCGTTTCAAATTAAATTTCCCGACTGAATTTAATACTTCACTTAAAATAGAAAATATGGCACATCTGGTAACATGAAAAACACCGAACCAGCAAGACGCTATGAAATTGGAGACTTGATCCTAAACTTATCCTCGCTATTCAACATCCATATTTGTATCAAAGTCTGGAACTATTGCAGATACAGTAAACAGATAAAAAAAGATAAGCATAAATACTTCTGGGATATGATTTTGAGATTCGACACCGCTGAACGAATGAATAGGACCTATCAGATGTCTTGCCTCATTTAATTGGTGAGCATCCTATATTGGACGAATCACGGATAATAGTGAAAGCTTTGATAAAACCATATATGGATTACTGCGTGACGGTGGAGTACTCAAAGAGAGAAACGAAGAATGACAAAATGGTGAGATCTGGTATAGAGTCGTCAAGATGAGGATCATGTATGTATACATCTGTGCCACTGACATCAGTTCTCAGCCATATCACCTAGAGTCTCCAACCACTGATTCCTGTTGTCCCGCGGACCCCAACCACCTAATCTGCATCGCCCCCCATGGTTCAAACCAACAATCAGAGACTTCATACACTGACGCCATGTTTTAGTCTGGCCACCTCGGGTCTTTTTCCAGCCTGGGCCTACTTCGGCCAACATTGTGTGACGAGGCGATCGGCGACTAGGCATACGCAATACGTGCCCAAACCATCTCAGTCGATGAAGGTTCATAATCTCGTCAACTGATTTACCTCTACTCCCTAAAACTCTATACCTGAGTGCATATTCACTTGAAAATCAAGTTCCTTAACGAATAAACGCTCGTAACCCATGGATTGAATGCATGGAAACCATTGCACAAAGCTACTTTACCTAAGCAGGTATGGATCAAGAAATGGCAAGTTTTGTCAGGACATACACTAAATGGTAACAAGCAGTCTAGCATTTATCAAGGTTACTGCCAATTCTATGAGCGTGACTAGTGTTTATGGTTTCCTATATGTCAACTTCGCGCAATCGATCAGGTTCAAATCTTATCCCGAGGTAGAGACGAATGAGTTGCAAACATCGTGAGTGTTGCATTTCCCTTCCAACCATAATCCCTTGTAGGCCACGAATAGCATCCTTTCTTATAACAAGATTCAATTTAAATAACGTCCGTTTGAAGAATTTTCCCAAAAGAACAGAATTCAACACATTGTACGCTACTGTGCAACTCTCTTTCTAGTGACTACGATAATAGTTGACAATCATAAGTAAGCAAATCAGGTTATACTTCAGAGATGGGGAGGCGATGTGTTGGACACAAAACAGCCATTCTTATTCGTCTCCCAGACAATCCCAAATGAGGCTAATATCAGTCAAAAACGTCTTATGGAAGGTAGAAGAACAGCTAAGAACGTAAGACTACATGGAGCTACCAACGAAAAATGATATTCTGAAGAATTTTCAGGAAGGATTATGTCTACTTTCAAAATTACAGATCGCAACACAAAGACTGAGAAGTAATAGCTGGAGGAATTACATTTGTTCTTACGTTTGTGTTCCTTCTTCTCTTCTACATTTATTGAAGTGTGGAAGTTGTGTGTAGTATTTGGGTTGACCTGCATAGCGGCTATATAGCTTGTCAGAAACACAACAGTACACTAACCTTTCCTGAAGTCGGAGAATCATTGAGACGATAGCATAGATGGTATAAAAATCAGTTCACTTGACTACAATATGTCAATGGGGTTACTAAATGAAAACAATAAAACATTTCATCACATCTTGATTGATGGTTAGGATTATTAGTAATATGGGTGTTGAAACAGCTAAAAGTGAACATAGTTCCAGATTACATTTTCAAAAACATATCGATTTTGCAGAAATACAAGCAATACAACAAGCATGAAATCTTGGACCCAAGGCTTCCAGCCAACTGCTTCTAACTAACTAGCATATATATAATCATTCGCATATATGTTCTCATGCTACAAAACACGCGAATATGCCAAAATGCAAAAGTAAATCTATTTCCTAACTATAGGTAGTGCACTGAAAAACATATTTCTTACTTCGGAAATCAACAGTTACATAAACATGAAACCGAAAGTGACATTTCTGTCAAATTGTTACTACCTTTCAACTAAAAATTAGACTTTCGTTAGGAAAATCAGAAGATGCATATTGATTACCCTCAATTATGACATCATACATGACACAATTTACCACTGTCTAGAAAAGATGGTGCGAATGTGCAATAAAAATATTTCAAGAAAATCAGTTGAATACTTTTAGTCATAAAGTTATTGGATTAATATACATAACAGTACAGAGTAAAACAGCATAAATAATGGAATATATTAATTAGATGATAAATCAGAAGTACTGATACAACTTTTCCAAGATGAAGAGAGAATAAGTCAAGCATTGTGCGAAAAAAACTATCTTTTTCAAGATAGTTATGTATATACAAACAGACTTACACGTTTACCAGAATAATAGACTATACGTATGTGTAAGAACAGATGTACGATTTAGGTAAGGTAACATAAGAGAATATTTATCAATTCCCCACAAACGAAATAGCCCCTTTCCTAACTCCATTTCAATCACACACTTCAGTAGTAAATTTTACCGAGAAGCAAAATTAAACTTGAGAATAATTAGTGTCAACAAAAGAGAAACTAAAAAGACCATGCTGGAGGATATTGAAACAACCAATTATATTTCAATTCTGAAGTTTGTGGGGATTTGTTCATTGACTTCAGGTTGGTATTAATCATGGACATCAGTTGGAGAAACACTGAAACTTAGAAGAACTGGACAGCTGTTTCGTCCTAGTATAGGACTCATTAGCAGTATGCAGCCATCCCACCCCCTACCCCAAGGATCGAATCCAGAACCTTCGGGTTGTGCGCTCAGCATGTTACCACTGACCCATTGCGTCGAAACCTAACGCTCCATATTTCCAACTTCTATCAGCTCACGACATGGCATGACCTCAATCTAACCCCTTCATTGAATAACTGTCCTAATGTCCGACTTGGTTGGCCCCACCGGTCACGACTTCTCATCGGAAATTTAGAAATCACCTCTCGAAGCTAATAACAAATGGGGATTTATTCATTGGTTTAAGGTTGGTATTCATCATGGACTGATATCAATAAATAAATCCCTAAAAACCTCTAAATTGAATTAATCTAGCGCTCAGTGGTGACTAGCTTCGAGAGGTGCTTCCTAAAGTTCCGATGAGAAGTCGTAACCAGTGGGGCCAACCAAGTAGAACATTAGGACAGTTATTCAATGAAGGGGTTAGATTGGGGTCATGCCGTGTCGTGAACTGACAGAAGTTGGAAATATGGAGCAATGGGTCAGTGGTAACATGCTGGGCGGGGAACCCGAAGGTTCGGAGTTCGATCCCTGTCGAGGTAGTGTGTCTACTGCTGAGGAGTCCCATATTGGGACGAAACAGTTGTCCAGTGCCTCAAGGTTTCCAAGGTTTCTCCAACTGATGTCAGTTCCAGACGAATAGCAACTTGAAATTATGTTTCTTCATTTAGACTGAAAAGATAGTTTCTTCACAAAGTGAAGACACCTAATCGGTTACTTCAGTGGTTGCTAGAGTGGCCTTTAGAATCAGCACTGAAAGGGACAACTTCAGCTACATTTGAATATTATATTCCTTTTAAGTGAGAGTGACTTAAAAACCACCTTAACGACTATTAAAATGATCAATCAGATATCTATATTTTGAGTGCAAGGGTGGTTTTTCTTAGAATACAGAAATTTGATTGGCTGTTTCAGTAGTTGTTGATCTTTAAAGTCGGTCTTCAAATGACGTGATGAAATAAGGCATTCACAAAAAACTACATATCGCTAAGCCAGTTCATCGGATTTTGGATGCATTTATAGATAAATAGTTTATTTCAGGCAGAAGAGAGAATAAAACAAAAGGTGCTTAACATATTGAAGGCTTATAAATCACTTCTGTAGCAAAAATAAGAAAATACACTAAACATACCAAATCAATACTTTAAGGGCGTATGTACAATTGTGTATGCTTTTGTTAGAAAAACGTTAAGATGATAGACACATTTAAAAGTCATGCTTGAGTTGGGTGAAAAATTCTAGATCGATACCTAGACAGTAATGACATACAACAGAATCATATTTTTCATCTATGAAGTATTTATATCCACGTTGATTATGTCGTTTTAATAAAAATTGGCATGAAGATCAACTAAGTATCACTAACCAAGCTATTCAGATATGTAATAAGACATAATATCAGGAATGATAGGGTTATAGACCCATCATATGCTGATGATTATAAAGGTTTCAAACTAGAGAGAGGAAAAATATGAATACCATGCTGAAAATCAAAATCAGGTCAATAAGAAAAAGGAGGGACCAAGAACAATAAAAGGCACCCTAAAGCTCAGCGCTGTGACTACACCAGTGAGTTCACGGGAGCTAGCCACTGAGTGGATTTTAGAGATTCATTGAACTAGTCAGGTGAAGTCAAGTTAATATCTATACTTAGGTCCAACATACATGTCTCAGAGATAAAACATACATCCATAGCTAGAGATTCCCGAGTTCTCGCAAGCGATGCTTTTTGTCCGTCGGGCATTGAAAGCTCCTACATGAAATCGATGGCGCGGTCCCGATGGTTTGAATAGTTTTAAACAGTTCCAGAATGAGGGGTTGGAGAAAGTGTAGGGGACTTAGTATCAAGAGGTGAAGGTAAAGGGGGAGACAGAGTTGAGGATGTGTTGTGTACTACTGGAAACGTGAGCGTGAGTGGAAACCTAGTTCCTCTTGAGGTATCTGAAAAATAAGGGATAAAGTGTGACTGTAGAGCCCCAAGGACATCTGCTTGAGATCTTTTTGCAAGTTTCAGATTTTGGTATTTTGTTTTTGAATACGATAACGAGAATAGTAATTGAAGAGAACAAACTGACTCCAATTTACAAAGCTGTTTGTTTGAATACACTCAGAACTATTTGTGACACACATTCTCTCTCAACAAATCCCTCAATAACGACAAAAGATTTTTGCTTGTGCTCACTGAAGTTTAATGTATTTGTCGCGAGTTTGAATCCCGTTCCACCAACATCGTCCTGAGTGACCAGGTTGTTCATAATTCCCCAAGCAATGCACGGCTTAAAGTGAAGTGTATAAATTCCTGTATCACATTGTGTTACAAGAATATTATTAATTTTTTGTACTTATTAGGCGTTTAATAGACGGAAGACCTACAGATGGTCACTCGATAGCATGATTAGGCAACAGGAAAGTTAAGTGTATTATAGGTGAGTTCAGTTACTTTTAAAAACTGTAAACAGCAAACCCTATATATATATATATATATATATATATATATATATATATATATATATATATTCTTCTAAGGAGTAAGAACGATGTCAGACATAGCAATAGATCATAGTCATCTGAAGGTGGGTGGTATAAGTGTATTTACGAACCTCATATACACTGTAACAGTTGCATTTTCGAGAAATACACCTGATACTTCTTAGAGATTGATTTAGTTTACTTTGCAACGTCTAATTTATTGGTTTCACGGACCAACGCAAAAATCTTAAAGCACGCAATTCATTCAAATATAGCAGACATCGAGACAACTCTGAAGGAGATGTGCGGTGGTGGTGTAGATTTGAAGCGATGTGACTTTTTGACCTTGAGTATGCGAACGATATCGTTCTAGCAAGACAAATCGCACATAATCAGCTAGTGATTAGTGTTCGTAAGTATCATACGCACTTCGCATTGTTGAATGCAAAGTGCTTTGACAAGATTGAGAGAACCCGGTATCTGCACTCATCTTTAGTAGTGAATCATCGAAAGTTGTCGAAAAGTTTGTGTATCCCATTAGCCGAGTGAACGCTGATGTAGGTGCAACTTAGATTGCTAATCGGACACAGAAAGTCGGAGCTGCATACGCTAATCTGGATCACCTTTGATACCAACATGGCTTTAGCCTGCGCATGTGAAATTTGGCCTCTCTAATCTGAGGATCTCCAAGGACCATATGCTCTATCACCCTTGTTCCTGCATTATTGCTAGTATCTAATGGGAATACTATGTAAGGAACTCTAATGAATGGTGGTGTGTGTGTGGGTGCGATAAAGATTTTTATTCACTGCATAAGATCATCTTTAAACGTTGGCCTGTGGCTTAGACATGAGGCATATGTCATCCTAGTGGCTCCCACACCGCTCATTACTTGCTTGCCCTGTGACTGGTCGGAAGAAGCGGACAGATGACCAATGTATCAAGTGACTCCTTGAGACGTAGGAATGTTGTGTTGAGTCAGCATCTGTTAGCGCCTAATGACTCCCTGGATGGGATGGGTTCAAGCAACCACATAACTTAGTATCTTGAGGTAATGGTAGACAAGGCTCCCAATCAAAACCAGTGACGATCATGCTGCAGTTTTCTAATTTCTTCTATAAGTAGAAAGTAAAACCAAAGTAATGAACGCTTCTTTGAATCGATCTATGAAGCTGACCCCTTAACAAGGTACTTCTATTTTTGCTTCTATTTCGTATTCTCTCTTTCCATCTATGTTATTTAGTATGATGTGTTTCTTAGTGCTCAGCTCAGGTTATACCGAATTTCTGTTTTAAATAAATAAATAAATGAATAAATTCAGACAAAGGAATCAAAAAGAAAAGCACCTATTCACACAAACCTTAACACGAATCGGATCAATACCATACGTTTCCAAACTACTGGCAAGGTGAATCACTTCACTAGCCGCTTCAGAAGGTAACATATTCCTAGGGGAAATAAAAGAATATCACTGAAAAGAAATCTTAATGATTAAAAACAATACTCATGGAAATTTAACAGCATGTGAACATAAATGCCAGTCTCTAAAACAATTAAATGCTACGCAAATATCTCGCCGAGACAAAAAAAAAGTGAAGGCAGTTAACAGTTAATAGGGATAAGTAGAATCTGTCACAAGTGACTATAGTCTAGAAATGTGTTCCCTACGAAAATAAAACACTATATGCATAGTAATAACGACGAGATAAGAGTTCACTAGGTAACTGCAATATAGATGGACTTTTAGTTGGAAACAAATTAATTGAATACGATACCATGAAGAATTCGGAGAAAAAGGATAATACACTGAAATTAATAGCCGACCAAAAGGAGAAATTTATAATAAATTCGAAAGCTTTGCATACAGTAACTATTAGTTGAAGTGACCTAGTTACACTAATGTTTTTTTGCAGTGAAAAGTCGAATAAGGAATTAAATGGATATATAGTATTAAAAAGGTTGAGGTGAAAACGAAACTGAAGTTTTCAATATCTGAGCAATTACTTACTCTAGTTTCTCATGTTCCTTCATAATTAGCGACTCAAGACGTTCCGTTTGATTGTGTAGTACACGAAATTCATGTAAGTATTGGCGTTCAGCTTCATTTTTCATAGACATCTGAGGTGGGTCCTGAGCCGAACTATCTCCAAGCTCCACTAATGATTGAAATCCCAAAAAGGAATATAAAAGACTTCCAGTTATAAACAGTTTTCAGAACTGCAAGGATATTACAATTTACAATTTTACGAAAGAAACATACACATAATTGGAACAGCATGCGGAACGCTTACCTTGAACTACAAGAGCTGCAAGGCGTATGAGAACATCAGTTGAAGCAACTAATCTCCCACTTATCAAATCACGACGCAATTGTTGATAAAGAAGGTAGCTATGAAAGTGAAAAGGAAAATTACAACTTGTAAACATACGAAACAAACAAATTATCGATAATTCGACTGAAGAGGAAAAAATACAAAACTCAATACAAATATAGTGAGATAAATGTAACTGTCCACAATTGTTAATTATAATGGAAATTAAACGTATAACATTAGAGGATTACGTTGCAATACCAATTACACTTACCAATGTTTGACTATTCATTAGCTAATTAGTCAGTAATAAAGGTTTGTTAGAAGACCCCAGTATACTCTTTTTTTTGATGAGATTATGTTCATATAAAAACAAAGTTTCAATTTATTGTCCATGCTAAGGCTAAAATGTAGTTACTAATTTGTTCATTGAAATCGAATGACTTTAAAGCCCGCTTCAATAACTACAGAAATAACTAATTAGGTATATTTATTTTGGCGTCAAAATTAGTTTCATCATTAAATGAGGAAGTCTAATTAGTAATTTCTGTGGTTTTCCAAGTGACCTTTAAATTCACTTAAAATAGCTTAAACAATTAAAATAGCCAATAAATGATGACAATCAAACCTTTGACACGTGAAGAAAATCTGAAATGAAGAATTCAGAATGGCACACAAAATGCAGTACCCTTCCTCATACAGTGTTTCAAATGAGCACACCATGATAGGTAAAGGTTAATCTATTATTTGAAATGGATTATAATTCTGTGGAGCAGTACGACTTGCATAGATGTAGTAGGTGTTAACTGCTTTTACAGTCGATAAACAAAAAAAATGACTACGATATCAATGACAATCTACTCACGAATAAATGTATCATAGTGATCGACTTCTTTTATTCTGGCTAAGGTCTGTAACTGGTGATTTCGAGTCAGAAATCAGCAAGCAAACTGACCCATACAATAAAAGTGACCATTTTACTATCCTAACCATATACAATAGCTGACTGGTGGAGAACCAGGCGATATATAATTCAGTTCATAAACGTTGGTGAAGACCAATTTGTTCAAGCTAATAAAAGTGTACCCCTTAGGAATGTGTATGGCGGAAAAATCACATAAGTATCGTAAGGCGCATGTTTAGTGTTACATCAAGATAGCTTGCAATATTGTACAAGAGTATATATTTGACTGCAATTTTAGTAAGCAACTGATTTGTTCAAATGCATTCTTCTCTTCTTTCTGCCTCTCAACAAAACCACTGCCAAGAATGATTTTTGTTAAATGTTAAGGTTTATCTGGCGTAGTAAACTCAGTACTCATCATTTTAAGTGTTGAAGAAGAAATATTTTACTCCATATAAAAGTAATTTAACTTCCCTATCATTAGGTGTTTTACTCCGAAAATTTCGACCGACGTTTCGACTACCTCAATCCAATACTGGATAATAAAAATCGATCAAAATTTTTTGACGATGAAAGCTAGTCAGAATTCAGACAAATAAACTTGACCTTTAAGGACAAACGATTCTCATGAAATGAAACCATAGTTTATGTTTTTTAAAGTTAGTAATCACCCGAAATATTAATGTCGCATACGTGTAAATGTGCAACAACTGAAATCGAAGGATAAACAGACAGACTCAAGTCAAAACCTTCAACAAAATAAAACCACTGCAAGTTGTTACATTATCCAATCAAACAGAACAATGAAGTGGATAAAAACAGAATGATATTGAGCAATGACTTATAATAGGTTCAGAATTTTTATACTAAAACGCGAATATATCTGCACCGTCATGATCAGTTTTAAGTGATATTATACAGTCTTTGACTAGACTATGGGATTAGTAACAACTCTAGAAGCCTAGTCAATCAGCCTAAGCTTCCCCAAACAGACCTGAACAATAGATGACTTCGTAGGTCGGGGCTATATCTTAGTCTGGTTACCCTTGGTTTTCTTTCAACCGAAATCCGCTTTAAATAACAGTACTTGTTGAAGCAGACGGTTACTTGACATGAGAAATATGCCTCAACCATCTTAGTATTCAATAACCTTCCCTTTTAGAACACGCTGTTTTGCATTCTGTGGACCCAATACATGTTAGTAATACTTTGGAGATGCTTGTGATAGCGAACTTACAGTTTCCTCATATGGGCCACATTCAGTAGTCATATTTCACAACTGAATTACAAGACAATGAGAACTGATGCATGGCACACTTATCCCTTGGTATATACTGACAGCGCCATGGATGGCAAACACCGAAAATGCGTGCTTTTTATGCATCCTGAGATTTCATCAGCAACTAGTCCATCGAAATTTCTATCAGTTTCGGAACAGGTTAACTAGCATAATCAACATTGGAAAACACACAGTGTACTTTAAAGAAGTGGCCTATTTGTATCCGCATCATCAATCATATCTGCTTTTATTTGATTGACTTCACCACAATGGTAGGTAATGGATGTACATAAAGGTGAACACACGACATGACGTAACAAACAATATCCTGGTTATTTTTCTATTCTTAAGTAAGAAAAATTTTATGGAAATTGTGAAGTGCTGTGGATTTCATGTGAAGAAAATGAAACAAAATCACGGAAAATAATATTTATAGCTGTAGGATTAATTTGCCACGTGTTACGTATGCTCGGATAGTCAATTTTTACCAAATCAGAGTTAAAAATAGGTACAAAAGTACAGGGTGGATCGACGCTTAATCACAACTAGTGCTCGAGTCATTACTAAATAGTCTTTTAATTACAAGTATTGTGGTGAATAAAGGAGAAACATTGTCTGTTTATCTGAATTTAAATAAATGAAGTAAGTTTGAATTTACAACGAAATGATAAGAAAAATCACTAGATAACTGAGTTATAGCACTTCAAACGCTTGAAGTAAACAAAATGTTACTTTATTATTATAACTATTAAAAAGTACGATTGAACTGTGAGCCAAATCTGATATGTGAGGGGTTAGTGAGACTACCTACTTGCTTAGGAGGGTGCAAATAAAGTGGCTCCAGAGCCATGATCCTATGGTTGGCAGTAAACTGTTAAAACTATTGAGACACAGTTCAACTAGCAACTACATAAATATTTACTTGCTAGGTACTGAACCATATTTGTTGGGGTGCGACTAACGATACTACTTCGTTGACTTACGAAGAGATATATGTTAACCCACGACCCAATGTTTGTAAATTGAGTGTTTAAATAACAAAATTAAGAATATATTCAAAGACGTAGTTCACAGATAAACTACATCTTCTAATTATTATTATTATTATTATTTGTCCCTTGGGTTCCTAGTGGAACATAGGGCTTCAGTAGAACGTCTCGATTCCACTCTGTTCTCTGAAATCTTTTGGACCTGGATCCACCACTGCCTACAAGCTCTCATTTCTTCCTCACATGATATCCTCCATGTCACTCTCATATCGGACGCCCAACTCGTCTCTTCCCATCTGAGTTCCACTCGAGTGCATGGCTTGGTGCACGATGTCCCAAGTCGGCCTTCTCAGTGCATGCCCAATCCAATCCATCTCCACTTCCTTCTGCATATCTGTTGAGTGACAGCTTCTTGCTTCGTTGGTTCGTTGCCAGTCAGCCAGAGTTCCTTCTTGCTTATTCTTATTATTCTGGCCATCTGAGCTTCAATATTGAGTCGGCGTAGGCAGCCGTTGATGAATATCTGTAGTTTGTTGAAAATGCTTTTCGTGATGCGCCAAGTCTCTCAACTATCACATAGAAGCACTGACTTACTTCACATTGGTGTTGAAAATCCGGATCTTGTTCACGCTTTATACTGAGTGCAGTGCAGTGCAGTAGATCTCCACAATGGTTTCAGGTTAATGAACGCCCGTCTTGCTTTTCCGATCCTGGCTGGCTTTCACGTCCTCATCTGTGCCACCGCCACCTGTAGTTGAGACAGTGCTGCCTAGGAAGCGAGGGAGGTGAAAGAGACTACTTCCTTTAAGTTTCTCCCGTTCATGGTGATTGGCGCCTCTTGTTGTTGTTGTTGTTGATTGGGTATCTTCATCACCTTCATCTTCTCTGCATTCACTTGAAGTCCCGTCTTCGCTGCCTCTTCTGACAACTTGTTAGTTCTCGCCTGTAGATCTTCAAGTTTGTGTGACATTAGACACAAGTCATCACTGGCGAAATCCGAATCTTCTAGGTTCCTTTCTGCGGTCCAGAGTATCCCTCTCTTCTCGCTCCTCATTGTTTGTTGCATGATCCAGTCCACTACAATCAGGAATATCATGGGTGATAGTAGACAGCCTTGTTTTACTCCTGTCCCTTGTCTTCACTTCAAAAGCATCACTGAGCTTCCCATTGTGAATTACTTGGCATGTGGCGTCTTTATATAGTTGTTGAATGAGGCTGACAAAGGTTTATGGTATTCCGTAGTGTTGAAGCAGCTGCCTGACAAATTACTTGTCGGTCGACGCTGTCGAAGGCCTTTTCAAAGTCGATGAAGTTGAGCATCTTCTAATTACTTTGCCGGAATTCATGACATGGACTAACTATTCTAAAACTATATGACTTTTATTGGTTCTGACTGACTAAATCACCGCAGAACCTCAAACACAAGTGCATCGGTTCAAGTTACCACACTCCACGGTAGTACACAGAGAATAGTTGGGTAGAAAAAGAATGACGTCAAGGTAGACGAAGTTGTGAGAGAAAATAAACAGTCTCAAGATAACGGTTAGTGCGAATATTTAAGCTTCAGAAGATGTCAAAGAGTGAATACATTGGCACCGTTGTCACCGATTTCCAACCATGTCACCAACAGTTCTCAATCACTGATTCCCAGCCAAACAGCCTACACATCCCAACACGACTAAAACCAACTATAAGAGACTTCATCGAATGGTATCATTTTTGTCTTGCCACCCTCAACCCACTTCCAACTTCATCCAACATCCCCCTAGCATGCCACGTCGAGGTAGGCGGTGGGTCAGCATGTGCAACATGTCCAAGCCATTTCAGTTAACTAAGGTTCGCAATCTCATTAACCGACTTATTTGTCTTGCGTAGTACCATTCACCCGACTTCATCACTGCTAACACAGTGATTTCACTTAACCCGAGCAATGGTAGGAAGATATCTGTGATCAAAACCCAGTAATCGCTTGATGTCTTCTACTTTTAATAACCACATTTCACAGTCATAGAACAGAACGAACTGCAGAGAAGTATACTCGTTCTTTTTTTATTTCAACTAAACCAATTCCCTTGAATCCATGGGATAAATACCTAAGAGAAGATGAAATTTTGATTTGAAAAGAAGAATATCAATTCTATAGAAGGATTGTAAGTATTACTGCACTTAGTTAACGATAGATCTCATTTACTTTATTTACCATTTGCAAATAAGTTTTAGGTGACATGTAGCCAAGTGATAAAAAACCTCCAGACAATTTCCACCTTGTCTAAATCTGCTTTGATATAGAAATAGTCTTGAGGTTTGAGCGAAGTTCAGCCTTGATATTTGGTTATGAATGATGTTACACTCTGAATTTATGAAGTCTGTTTTACCCTGCTGAAATTCTATTGATTTTTAAGTCAGGATTATTATGAAAAGTTGTGCTACCTAAAAGCTGGCCTATTGTATAACATAAAAACAAATGAAAAACAGTAAAGTTAGAAACTCAAAATCATGAAAGTGTATGAGATGTTTGTTTATAAAACTTACTGAGATTTAGGTAATCGTAGGTCGACAATAGGATCTGCCGGGTAATGCTTAATCCGAAAGCTAACTTGACGAGGATGTGTATCTAGTCAAAAAATAAAATTAAAATAAAGGCAATGAACAAAATTGGTATAAAAGTGACAATGTGAGAAATCGCTTGCATCGTGAAATCGTTAGGTTACTGAACTGCAATGGTCAAAACCAGTTCACAATAACCTTGAGTTGAAGTTTGACTAATTGCTAACATGAGGATATCATTTTTAGGCATAGTTCAAATAAGTCCCTGTTTATCGATGAAAAGAACACACGGAAATATATGAGGGGTTCGCAGATCATTCATTTTCATAGCTTATTGGCTGATGCAAACTGCAAATGAAACCACTAAGAAACCTATCATAAAAAAGAAATAACCTATAGAATTGAAGTCGATTCTTAAGTCTTACCAGTTATCGCCCTAAAGGTTCCCATGAAAAGTAGTGACTTGTGGAAATATGTAGGTTTCTTCAATGATAGTAACACACAGGTAGTACTGAAAGATAAACCAAATTATATTATCGGTAAAATCAGGTGAAAAATACTGGTCAGTGAAATCAGATTTAGTGATCCAAGAGTTAAAACTAGTTCTCAAAACCTGAGGGTTGGCAGTGTGACCTCCAAATGTAGAAAAATGACAAGTAGTATGGTCAAGCGCACCCAAGTATATTCATGCACAAACTTGTGGAACGAAAAGTATGCCTATCTACAATATCAAGTGACGTTGACAGTAAAATATTACAAAGCATAACAACTCATACAAATAATATATCAGTGATTGTAGCTGAAATGTTTGTAGTACACTAAAAAGAATAACCGTTGTCTTTAGTTACCTTATTACAAAAGCCAACAAGAAACACGGCAAAAAAAGAAAAAGAGTGACGACATTTTAAGTTTTTAATGGAATGCAATAGGTTAAAGCACCTGCATTTATAGCATAAATTCTAAGAGACATCATGCATAATTCATCTTATAAGATCTCCAGCCACCAGTCTTTAAGATGCTTGGGACCATAAGACGAAAATCTGCAATAATCAAGTTGTAAATACATATGTGAAGGTAGTTTAGTTAGCATTCCAATACAGAGGGCTTTCCAACTGTTACTGCATTTCATGGCCTATTCATTATTCCATCAGTCAATACGAGAAAGATTTTAGAATGAATTACTTTGCAATATAACGCATAAATACGGTGGTTAAAGTAGTCGACTTTTAACAGCTAGTCAAAAATTTTGAATTCTGCTCTATCTACCGAGATTTCAACAGCCACATAGTATCTCAAACCCTACGCATTTTTGTTTAGTACACGAATACATGTATAGCCGGTAAGTTGCTTTTTAGAGTTCAACTAAATCACACAAACTTGCTAGGTCATTAGCAACAGATCTAAACCTTGATATGGTGTAAATGAAATTCCACACTAGTGAAGTAGGCGACAGAAATATGCGTATCTACAATATTCATGAAAATGCAGAAGGATTCACCACATACAAAAATCACACTCGACTTACGCTTGAGTTGTGATAGTAAGTTTCTTGTGAGATTAATCCAATGCTGCAAAACAAATTTCCATTTTAAGAAAATTAAAACTAAAATGATCATTAATATATGTGTACAAGGAATGCGATAAAAAATGTTGATGATAATGCTAATGAACATAACCAGTGGAGTACGTGACTGGTGCTTCAGTATTTCCGAAAACCTTAAATTCTATTATTACTTGAGCCACTGTCATATTGGAAAACAGGAGGCCAGAAAACCAATTATATTTCAGGTCTCATCCAAAACTTTCCAATAAAATTTTACTACCAATCAGATATCGAAATAGATCCAGTACTAGTAGGTATTTCAAGTGGTTATTCTTACTGTGAAGATGGTCTTGCAGTCGATTATTTTAGAATTCTTCTGTATTTGTTGCCAAAAGAACAGACTATACAAAATATAAATAAGTACTGCTGAGAGATTAGTGATCGAAAACCTCGGCACTTATAGTCACAAAAAGCATTAACTTTTACAGTTTACAGTACACTTTACCTACTCATTCTGCCTTATCTCAAATACTTTCTGAGATAACAGTCTCTTTACCCTCAAACTTTTAAGGAATTGGTCATTTAATTAGCGATTTTCTAATTCACAGAAATGACACAACCTATACTTCTGGCAGATCTATATCCAACCGCTGTATAAATTACTTTTTCAAATGGTTAATAGTTAGATATTGTTTTAAGGAATCAGCACAACCACTTTTAGACTCTTGTGTATTATTAACCCACTTACCTTAGTTGGAGGTGAAAGCATTTCATGTTCAAGGTAACGTAGGCCAAAATATTCACGTTCCTGCATAACTCCTTGGTGACGGCAGACTTCTTCAAAAAGCCACTTTCCAGATGCATCTTCCTAAAAGACAGAATTGAAAAACAACAATTCAAGGATTCAACCAAAAACAGCAAGAATCTAGCTTCATACAACGTCAATATTTACCGCTTGATATTTAACACATGAGAATTAAAGTCAGCCTAAATGACAAAACATGGAGTAGAATATAATTGAGTGCTTACTACAAACTATCTTGGAGTGGAAAGCATATACACTTTTTAGTTTTGTTCTACTATGACATAAAGGAACCTGACTCGATGTCTGTTTGAAAGAATTTGATCTGGTGCTACGATAGACTTAATGGACACTTTTAGAAACAATGGATACCCCGAAAACGGCATTAAGAATATGATAAGAAGAACGGATAAATCGATCATCACCTATGATAAGAAAATATTCATCCACCTTTAGTTCAAGGGTGATAATGTGGCCGGAACTATTGCAAAGAGACTTCCACATTCATTAAAGACGTTTCTTGCAGTCACTCTGAGACATGTTCAGCAACAAATATATCTTACTACCATGTCTGAAAGATATTATTTTGTGCATGGACACATTCAACTGCTCCTATGCAGTCACCTACTTAGGATGAACTATGAGAAGGCTTTTACAACGTGCAAAAGAACATCTCCCGGTATGGTGAGCAAAAGGATAAATGAAGATTCAGAGTACTATCTAGTTCAACTTTATTGACACCAGTTACAACGTCGACAATATATATGCTTTTTCAGTCTTCCACAAGATATTGGGTCGAATGCCATAAACAGTATGAATTTGTCTTCTTCAAACTGCTGAGGTTATTACAATAAAAATTATGAAACCAGAGCTCTGTGTGCAAAAATATTTCAAACATTCTCTTGTTTTTCAGTAGACATCTGCAAAGATTGAGTCCATATAATTCAGGTACACAATGACTCAATTAATTAAAATTCTATATTTATCTGACTTTGCATTTTTCATTTTCGATTTATATTTTTATAATTTTTATGTTTTTAATTTCCATTTGACCTAATATCCCATAGTAACTGCCTGCTGCAATTTTTAATTTAAATCCAATTATGGTTGATCCTTTTCTTCATTAATTATTCAAAATGCTGTGAAATAAACTGTTACTTAATTTCAGCCCCAAAATTAGCTTAATGTACAAATAATATCGAGGTTATCTCAGAGGACAAAACTGCTATCTGCATACGTTTCACATCGACGAAACTAATCGACAACAGAACATAGTATGGTGTTCTGTAGATTATCCATAAAGTAATTTGCTAAAAGACAGCCTATCCGTGAGCCACTTATGACCCCATCTTTTTATCAATAAAGCTCATTACTAAATCTAAATTGCATCGTAGAATTACTTCTTTTAGATGGTAATTTGTATCACTGGAAGTGAGATTATCAGTTTCAACATAGTTACAAAGGAAACATAGTCTATGTGAGCGGAAAATTGGTGGAGTGAAGTGATATCCAAATAGAGCTTTCTCTTTCCAAATACGGTGACGTTACTTATTAAATCGAATGGATTAGGCTAACCACTTCCATGAATCCCAATTCGCAATGTTTGAAGAACTCCACTCAAACAATACAATACCGGACAGAGAGGAAATTTCCTTTTGCACACATTCACGAGGATATAAAGTCATGGGATGACAGGGTCATGTGGTTTTGAATGTTCAAACAGATCGTCAAAAATGGTCGACACATCCATCACCTTTGTCTGAGAAACCTGATCCTGAACCACGTAGATGAAATAACGTCTAAAGCTACTGAAACTGAACACAAACGAAAGTAAAAGCTGCATCCTGAGTCGTTTGCTCAACCCTGGTCACATGGCTTTACGACAGTCCTCCTTAAAAATCATGCACGAAGTCAAACAACTATTCAAAACGAGTGTGTACACATTAATTAGGCTTAGTAAAGGTGTTGAAAATCTAGTAATTAAAGCCTGAGCTGCACGTAGACAAGAGGCACGCATAATCTCATTTTATATCGCGGTCAGCCTCTGTGCGATTTCCTTCACTGCTTCAATAGTTATTGTACTCTTGTTGATTGATCATGTTTTTACTTTATGATACACTTTCCTATGTTTAAATGTATGTTTTAATTACCACTAAAATCAAAAAATATTATATCCCAATTTCTAATTTTCAAAAGTCAAGTTTTCACTTTGAGTGACTTTGCTTTTTTCTACTCCTGTCATTACTATGCAATCACCTTCCAGTCCTAGAAGTAACTTACCACGTCCATTCAGAACACTCCTTTATATACATACGTAGAAACTGCACGAAACTATTTATAAACCATTTAAATTAGAAATAATGTTCCTTTTTATCACTCTTCTTACAAATTTTGCACATTCTTTATAATGGTTTTAAAAACGAATGTTGTTTATCTGTACAACATAAAAATTAGAATTTCAGTTGTGGCAGTAACACGGCAGTTCTGTTTTTGAAACCAAGAAGTACGGGGTGCTTCTATCTACTTCGACTTTTGCCTCCGTTAACTACTGTCTGAAGTGAATACTCGTTAACCGTCTTCAGACTTTACAGGACCTCTCATCCTCCTTTGAAATATCATGACAATCAAGTCAACCGAAGTCGACTCTGGAGCGGCTAACAAGTAACGCTTTCTGAACTCATATTGGAGTATAATAAAATTGTGGTGGACAGTATCAAGGAGACAGCACTCAATTAACCAATTATTATTCATAACGCTGGTACTACTGTTTTGCATTATAACGCATAACTTTTCAGATGTGCTTATCATTGTATCTATTTTAGTTAATTATAATTAACTTGATATTTTGGGTCTACTACATATCTGTTGGTGAGCCTGATCAAACGAACTTGTCTACATGCATTGCCCCCTATTTTTATTTAGCGTTCAGTTTCGTTTAGTTTCCTGCAACTTTTTTAATCTTTCGGGTATTAATGAGTTCTCCAAGAGTTGCTTCACCCAACTGACAAAATGGGTACATTGAAAGCAATTCATCGACAAAATAACTACGTGCCATTTTTGATCTATAACTTCCATCTTATGGTCTTAACAACCCTCGCATACAAGTTCGCTCAAGTCAAGGCTCTTTTTGCCGCTTGTAGCATTCGGTCTCAAGCACCAAAATACCCTTATGTGACAGGGGTACTACCCATTGATGTCACTTAGAAGTTGGAGACCTAATAGATAATGCCCCTGAAGAAGCACTGTACGACAAATTAAAGGCAGCAGCTATACAACGGACATATATGTCGGATGAAAAACGACTGCAGCAACTATTAACCGCTTGTGAGCTGGGTGATAGGAAGCCTTCAGAACTGCTTAGATACATGAAACAGCTTGCAAGTTCACATCAGTTCGAAGAAACCGATTTCAAGTAACTATGGCTACACAGACTTCCCTTGAACGTCCATCACATACTTAGTATCTCTTCCACAACTACTGAACTAGACAGCTTAGCTAATAAAATAGTGGAAGTCTACCCGGATAATCTTCCCCTCAACAGTTTAACAGCATCCAGAATAATACTCCCTAAACCTCAACTAACCCATCTAGTATTCAGTCACAGTTGACGTCATTAACGTCCGGATTTGAAGCATTAGTAGCAAAGGTTTCTAATATAGACGCTCGACGCCTAAGATTTATTTCCTGCAAGTGCTTAACTGATATGAGTCAACCACGCACAACTAAGGCTCCACAACAGATTTGTTGGTGTACCACAGAAAGTTTGGCCACAAAGCCAGGTGTACAAGACCCTGAAATTTCAACAAAAGCTTACTGTCAGACCAGGGAAACTTGGCAGTTAGACATCGATGCCATAGTGTTATTCTACTCCCACTTTCACGGCGACCATCGGCAACCTCCAGTAAGTTCTCTCCAAGCTGCAGACAAAACTCGCATACTGACGTTCGACGAGCAACCAGTAACATTAGATCTCGGTCTACACCGCCGATGTACACCGTCCTATATTAGGGGCCGATTTCGTGAATGCTTCCAATCTCCTGGTTGATGTCAACAAGAAGAAGCTGATTGATGCAATCCCAAAATTGTATGTACAAAGCATTGTATCCGACTATTCTATTCATAGCATCTGCATTGCAAGACCTGTGGATGATAAAAATGTACGCCAACCCCAGAACTTTCCTCGCATAGTAAAAGCTAGATATCACACTGAGGAAGTACGCCACACTACATTATATAAAATCGTCACCAAAGGTCAACCTGTCCGCACACGACCACGACGTCTACCACCCGATAATTTAGCAGCTGCAAAAGTAGAGTTCGAACAAATGATGCAGCTGAACACAATACGGCCTTCCAAAAGCGCCTGAACCTCGTTGCTGCACATGGTGGCAAGGAAAGATCCTGACTGGCGTCAATGTGCGTTGGATTATGCAACAGTTCCTGACCACCACCCCATTCCATACATACACGACCTTTCTCTCACATTGCACAGGGAAAAGGTGGACTTAGTCCGTGAATACTATCAAATACCAGTTGTACTTGAAGACATCGAGAAAAAAGCAATAATAACACCTTTCGGATTGTTCAAAACTTCAGCCATTCTAAACAGGACATAGCACCTTTGGGAGACAACACCTATCCCTTTATCTTGTTGCCAAACACTTGAGTCATCTGTTACAAGGTCATGATTTTACTATCTTCACTAACCATAAACCATTATGTTATGCGTTCCGCGCATTTTTAGAAAGATATTTGCCAAGAGAAGAGAGACATGTGGACTGTACCTCACGGTTTTCTACAGATGTCCAGTTCATCAAAGGTAATGCTAATGTCATTGCCAATTCCTTGACTCGAATTTATGCGAATCCCCTGACACGAAAAGCAGACAGTGAGCTCAAAAATATGGCAATATTGCAGGAAAACGACTCGAATCTCTAGGAGAACCAAACGAAGTCAATTCTTATCCTCAAAGGCGTCTTAATACCTTTATCTTACGCTAGAATCGTGTGCGATGTGTCCATGAGTAAGTATCGTCCTTTCCTTCCATTAGCTTGCCGAAAAGCTGTTTTAACACTTACACTCTGTCTAATTCAGGTGTGCGACCCACTGTTAGACTAAGTAGTCAACGTTTTGTGTGGCCTAAGATGAACTCAGGTAACAGAAGATGAGCACGTGACTTGTTGTACTGTCAAAGCTTAAAAGCGCATCGACATACGATCATCACGCCTCAGTAATTCCAACTATCTGCCAGACTTTTTTAACACATCCACGTAGATCTTTTAAGACTCCTTCCAGCATCCAAAAGATTCACCTACATACTAACAGCAATCGACTGGACCATCACTAGCCCTATAAGTGATATTTCGGCTGAGAATATTGCCTCCGTTTTCTTTAATCGCTAGGTTTTAAACTTCAGCGTACCTATTACACTCACTTCAGACAGAAGCTCACAATTCCAGTCGACATTATTCCAGGAGTTCACTCGACTTCTCAGAGTGCATCATATAGGAACTGCAGCATACCACCACGCAGCGAGTGGTCTGGTGGGGAGACTTCACTGACGACTAAAAAGCTCGTTGATGAAACTAAATGGCAGTGCTAAGAAGAGTGAGTTTCTTCCCATTGCTCTACTCGGAATTTGAGCCACCATAAAAGAAAATTTAGGATGTACTCCAGCTCAGCTGGTAATCGGATCGAAATTGCTTTTACTAGAACAGTTAGTAAACCCCACAGAATCCGTCCGGAACAGATATTTCAACATTTGCTGAACAATTTGCTCACTATTTCACTATTTCAGCCTATACCACCTCGCACCAGCAACTATCGAAAACAATTGGATCAACAACTGATGTCCTGCAAGTTTGTTTTTGTCCTGATCGACGGGGCTAGAAAAGGTTTGCAACCTCCAAACGAAAGACCTTTGGCAGTGGTTAGTCGAAGGGAGAAATACTTTACAGTAAGAAAAAACACGAAAAGGAGAAGACAGTACCCCTCGACCGACCAAAACCAGCTTTATGACCGACGAAATCGAAGTGAACCATGAACCACTTCGGAGTGAAACTTCGTCTGCAAGCACACCGTCAACGACTCCGTCCAGGATTCAGACCCCTCCCATCGCTTCATGCAGCACATGCAGCGGTCGACAAATCATCATTAAAATCAAAATAGGACCAGGCATTACTGAGTAACGGTCCAAGTTGCCACATCTTATATCAGCACATCGAATGACAAGGTAATAAATAATTGCAGGAATTGAAATGTTATGTGTTGGGATCGACAGACTGCATCACTTTCCGATGATATTTCAGTTACAATGAAAACCAAGATGATTTGGTTGCTATACACATGGCTATCACATTTTGTTGGTGCCCAAATAGAAGTATATTGTCGTATCAATGAATTTGTTCTAAACCTTTAACTCAAACATGTAATCAAGATGATAAGTGAATAGACATAGCCAGTCTCATAATATTTTATCATTCTAAGTCGCCATTTTATCAGACTGTAGTACGAGGTGGTTCCATGGTCACCAGAATCGCTTGCTCCTTTTGATGAGGTACGTAAATAAACAACTTCCGAAGTATATACAGTCGAATGTTAAGAAAGAGAGGTTGAATGGTGGATCGAGTAGACCATTCATCCATCCAAATCAACACCAGCAGACAATTTAAGGTGTTCATTCATGCTTAGCTACTTCGGCCTTAACTTATCGTGTCACCAGGAGTTGAAGCAAGACAAGAAGGATTTCAATATGATCAAGTAAACACATAAATATGATACGTTAAGTTATTAGCTGTTGACTTTAGTTACATAGCAGATCGTAGTCATTTTATGAGGTAATGATAGGGTTACAATAGCTGACTGTTGAAGACATTCAGGAATGTACTTCAAAAAATGGTGCTGGAGAAACAGATAAACTTTTTTTGGTCATTTTCCTCAGCAAATCATTTTTTGTGCTTTCGCTTATTCCTCAGTCAGGAAAATATAGGTCAATAAATAAATTGTGCTGTTTATGGTCAGGCTATTTACTTAGTTCCCTTAAGGGTGGGAATTTACCGATAAATTAACCAAGCAATACCATGTAACTTAACTCTGATGAACAGACGACATTAGAACCAACAATCCAGTGTGAAATAGACTTGACAACTAAGTGATGTCTTCCTGTTCAGTAGCAAAGTTTCGGAATGCTTCTCGTACAGTGGTACTATGAACTGCCTGAAAATTCAGCTGAACAAGAAAATGCAGCAAAATTACGTAAACTCGAGATAGTTTACTAACTTACTAGTAACATCAAAACATGCTGTTTTTTTTAACTCATTACTCAAAATATGAGGCGTGGCAACTTGTAACGTTGCTCATCAATGCATGGTGGTAATTACTAACACACTCAAATAGTTGGGATCCACTGCTTTCAAACATAGCTTTTAGCTGAATCATTCCTACTGTTTGCAAGCAGTTGAAATCTAAGTGCCTAGAAGCAATTTACAAATAGGTAGCTACCTATAAGCTATAGTCACCACTTTCGCCATAGATCACAAAAAATAATATCGTAACAAAAAAAACTGGCAGGAGAAGCAATAAATATGTGGTCAAATATGTTTTTAAACGTCAAAATCCAGTTTCAAACTAAGTGGACTTACAGGTACTCGGACTTCCTCCATCTTTTCATCCTCCAAAAGCCTCACCAAAACAACAAAGTACTCGTGAGACATCACTATCTACAACAGAACTGTGCAGCAAAAAATCATAGAAAAGTACGTAATGATCTGATTTTCAACTAGGTGTGCTAATAGGCTGATGTTTTCAGAGCATGATTCCCATGCCAATCTATAGAAACCAGTTTTTAATGTAGTCCATAAAAAATTCGAAAAGCTATTTAAGCTATCACAGTCAGAGTAAAAATTATGTTAGAAACCAATAGAAATGTAGCGCACTATCTCATTAACGATCGCAAAAATGTGCAAGAAACACTAAACAACATTTACAATATCCAATATCATTTTAACGAGCTTGTGTAAACCAATTGATTTCTCCTTGCTCGCTTCTTGGTCCCGAGGAACGGTTCCAGGTCTTCTGCGGATTCCAGTGCAGTAGATCCAGACACTCGTCTGCTACAGCTCTGATTTACAGAACAGGAAGTTAATTGTTGGTTCGTTTGCCGTGGACTGTGGTGTGGTTGGCTCCTTCAGATGTCGAGTTCCCAGACAGTTGTTTGGACTGGTTGCCAGAGAAGGTTAGGGATAGTGAAGAGAAAACCTAGAAAGTGTTTGTGTGAGCAAAAGAGGCGAAGAAAAGTGAACTAATGGAGTAACCCACTTACACCCAAGTAAGGTAAGTGGGGGTGCATAAGTATGAAGAACTTAGGTAAGTGAGGCTAACTCACGGCAAGTAGAAGGGATGAAAAGGGCTTAAATGGTTACGATAGGAGGAAAACTGGTTGTGAAGTTAAAATAGTCGGGGTGGTTTGACATCAGTTGACTTCTTCTGTTTAGTTCATGTTCCAGCTATATGTGGGTAAACCGCGGGTCTCTGCGTGACTGTCTGGCCGTTTCTTGAAACTTTCAGCAGATGAGGTGGAAACCAGCACTGCTGGTGATGTATTCCAGTGCTCGCAGACACTGAGGAAGAAGAAATATGAACGCACATGAGTTTTTGACCCTTGGTGGGCAGTTCTCTTAGGGTTTCCACGAGGGTCACCATGGTGGCCACTCGGTGGCACTCGGGTGACTTGGGTTGTTCATTATTGTATCACCCATTATCAAGTCACCTCGTAACCCTCGGTAGCTAAGAGGGTATAGGCCTAGGTCTTCCATTCTGTCCCTATATATTTTTCGTTGCATCACAACAACCCCTTCTGTGGCTCGCCTATGAACTTTCTTCAGTAGGTTAGTGTCACTTTCCGGCTGTGGTTGAGCAAAGACGTTATGGACCTTTAAGTGAGGTCGTACGTAAGTCTTGTAGAGCTTCAAAAAGAGCCCTGGTGTGAGGGCACTTAGTTGTCTGTGAGTAAAGTGTGGCAAGCCTTATGCCTTCCAGCCATCACCTGGACAATCAAACCTGGTTTTCAGTCTCTCCGTCACCGTTGAACTCAGGTCTTTTTCTGCTGTGGTGTGAAATAGGCGTGAACCACAGACAGAGTAGGATACTTTCTAAGGATCGGAAGTGCGGAAATACATGGGCCGGCACATATCCAGGTTAGATGCCGGTTTGTTATTTGTTGCCCATTCCTCTAGTATTTTGAGATCCTTCTGTGATGCCGTAAATTCCGCTTCGCGAGTTATTACCCTCCATAACTGAACATCATCAGCGCATAGGAGAAGCGGAGAGCTGATATGTACAGCCCGCTGAATATCAATATGGGTGAGTAATATATCGCCACGTGACCAAAAGGTTGCTTGGTAGTATAAGGAGATGTCTACGGCTTGCGGTGCCCACAAGTAAGCCGTTAAGCGCTTCAAGGCTCACAATCGCTCACCCCTAGAATTGTTCTACTAAGACTATCGTCTTGGGATGACGTATCGACTGGTTATGTTACCTCTACTTTTTCTATGCACGTTTCGCGGTACTTCTTTCACGAGTCCATTCCTCTCAGGAACTTATAGGAGTCGACTGCCATTAAAATGAACTCATCTCTTTTGTGAGTTCCTGTGTTTTTCCATGTTATCTCCAGGGATGAGTGAAAATCTAAATACCAAGTTTTCGTCCTGGCAGGAGTCCACAACAGTCATTGAATTACGCGTATTTGTACCTTCCCTTTGACTCATATTCGATAAGCCCCTGAGATGCGCAAAAGCATTTTGCTGGCTTCTCCTGAATGTGCGTTTACGATCCCCGTCGGATAGTAGTGAAGGAGGGATGAAAATTCTCTCGTGTTTCCAGACAACCAACCTGTTCATCCACTCGACTCATCTTACACATTTCGGAGTTGCCCCGAAGAGAAGTTGACAGCCACAGAGACCAACCATTATTCATTCGTACTCTTCATATACCCACGAATACGAGACCAAGAAAGGACACAATAGTAGTTTGACGGAATAGTATATTTGCTAGGCCGTGTCAAGTTACCGACGTATTCTGACTAACTGGCTGGAAAGTCGATCACGGGCGATGTAACATGACAAGACAGCGCGCCGGACAGCCTGGATGCTTGACTGTATGCCTTCAGCTCAGCGAGTCCAGTTAAGTCATGAAGGTCAGCATCAATGTTGAATTTCATCGTACCCTTGGCTGTTGATTCTAGGGAAGTACGTGACGCCACGCAATAGGATTTCATATTCAGTCTTGCATACTGTGCGCTAGATGTAAGGTTTTTGATGGCACAGAGCAAACTCAGATTATTATTGAGGCACATGTTTAGTGGGGTCACTAAATGGCTTCTTTTTCCATGCTTACTAAAGTTTAGTGAGACGGTAATCCTCGAGGAAATTTCAGACACTTTAGACCTGAGGATATATACCGACATGCATGTAGCACAACAAGGAAAAATCACTTCTGCGTTGAAAATGAATTTTTCATGACAGTAAGAACTGGGGTTTTGGTTGGTGCAAAAGAAGCCGTCACATGGTGACAAGGAGAGGTAGAATCTTATCCAGCATGCAATGAGAACGACCCCAAGTCGTTGAACATAAGCGACTTCGTGACCAGATTTCGAGGTACTAAGTCCTTATCTGCAAAATTCTCATGAAGTGGGCAAATAATTGTCAACATTTCAAGAAGGGAAACAGGACTCTAGTTCATTTCACAACGGTAAGTGGGGGGTCATAAGTTTACCTACTGAGATGAAAAGCAACGAAAAAGCAAACAGTTAAATTAGTATCTCTACAATTAGTGTTTGTCAAACCCCGAGTGTCATGGTGACAGAGGTATCTGGAACTGGAAGAGGGAAAAGTTCCCAGTTAATTGCGGCAGAAGGTGGAGAAATAGGGGCACGACACAAACTACACTTTGAGTCCAAAAAGATATCCCAGTAATTAGCAGCTCGAACAATCAGACGGGATTTCTTTTCAGATGAACAGGTCCTCCTTGAAAAAGTGGCCTGAAGTTGAAGCTTACCGTAGTAGTTGACAGCAGACAGCCAAAATTTAGCCAATACATTTGCTATGGAACTTACTGAGCCCAGTAGCTCGGCAAGGGGCGAAAACGCAATTTTTGAGGTGCAAGAAAGATAGTTTTCACTGCAATCAGGAAACTGCAGACAGATGCAAGTCTAGGGGTTAATGCAACAACTTTAACTACACCTTCAGAACTGTGGGGATTAAAAACGTAACACCCACCAACTCCTCTACAGAGATCGCCGAAAACTAACTATAGAAACAATAGGAGCTGCTAGAAAAGGTGGTGTACTTTAACAATGCAGGCGTTTTCGCAGGGACAGAGTAAACGTTTCGATTTTGATTTCGAGCACTCCCACACAACAGCTTCGGTAAACGACACATTACACCAGAACACTGTATGGTTGAAACTATGCGCCACTTTTACACGTGATCCTTGGTTATATCTTTTGTCAATTTCTTGTTGCGCTCAGCCCATCATTACTGTATATATAGTAATATAACCATATATTCTGTCTGGATAATTTGAGGCTGCACCGTTACATATAGACAGTTTATTCCCATCCTTTTAGACTGCATACCTTACTGTCAATCGCACATCTCACTTAAAACCTATTATAAGAATGGGACGGTCGAAAGCAAAGCGTTCAAAGATAGATGGCTCTAGCGATAAGAATAAAAGGGTTGGTTCCACTAATATTTCAGGCTGTGACCGAAACTCTATTGCGTCATGCAATCCAGATCTCAACGAACTTACATGCCTTACACTGCTCGTCAGGGCTGGAGACATTATTTCGGTCATGAATAATAACATCAAGGAAAATAGAGAAGAAATCGACAGTATTAAGTCCATGATAGATGGAGTCAAGAGGGTAGTTGAGGGCTTTCAACCTTTGGCATATCTCCTTGGGGAACACAACAACCTAGTCCCAAACCATATTAAAGAGGCTGAAACCCTGATAGATTACTCGGCAACTAAAGTAATGAAGAGACTGGTATCTTCCCGACAGGCAATAGTTTATAATGTTCTAGTTATCACATCTCTAGGTATCGTCAAGAAAAGAGTATTAAACTCATGTGGCATGACTCCTGTGCACTGTGGCTGCAAAAGCCTCCTCGAGAAAGCAGCACAGCTAATTTGCCCCATCCTTTTCAAGTTCGCCACCTTATATGATGCCAAGAGGTTCACTAACTATCAGAACCATATAAGACCAAACGGTAATTGTAAAGCTATTACAACTGTACTGGACAAAACTCCTTGTCAGCGTAGAAAACAAAGGAGAAAAGGTCCTTCCACTTTAACACGTGCAAACTATCAAGGTACTGGATGCAGTGAGGAACAGTGAAATGGTGCTGCTACGACCGGTAATCCCACTGCGCCAGACTTTGTGGCAGTGAAGCAACCCCAAGTGGACTTGGACGTAAGCGATCCTGATTCTTTAACCTCCCGTGAAACCTCAACTATGAGTACTAGCCTCCCTAAGGTTACCATGGATATAAACCGTTTAGCCGATAGTAACGCCGCTAGGCACAAACCTGCAGGTAAAACCATGCGCTTTAGACCTACAAAGCTCCCGAAGAAAGCCGTTTATACACGCATTTTGTCTCACGATGGCGAAGAACACTTAGCAGTTAACATAGCTGCCATAGACAAATTCGCTATTGGATCTAAGGAAAGTAAGGTATCTCGAGAAGAAAACCCACCGAAAAGGCGTGTTATACACCTAACCTTAACCGGTAGAAAGAGACACTACAATAACTTGAAGGCATCTGACATTAGACAGTATCCTAGATCATGTTTGCTCAGCCATCAGGGCCCCAACAGGATCCCATGTGGCATACCGGTACATTCATGTCATACATGCCACATATACTCTACCCAAACCTACGTCGGCACCCGGATGACCCTAG